TGTGGTATCCTTGAGATCCACCCTGAGCTTGTTTTGCCTTGCTTTGCCTTGACTGGTCTTGTGACCCCTAGTTCTCCCCCACTTTGCCTATGGGGGTGTGTCAAACATTATATATGTTGTGTTAGTTTAGGCTACAGTGGGTTAGCCTATAGGGGGTACACAATTCTAGGGTTAGGTACTTGTACTCTTTTCATTACTAGTTCATCCATTCCTGTTCAGTGATTCCAACAGTGGGCGCCGACGACGGTGTTGCCGCCGACGAGCAGCCCCGCGGCGACGGCGAAACGGTTGGCGACGATGAAACGGGCGCCGAGGCTGGCACAAAGGCGGACGTGTTCCCAGAGGGCGGTGCGGGCGCCGCGGACGACGACGGTGTGGAGTCCTGGTGGCGGCCACGCGAAAAGATCCTGATTCCTACTTACCCGCCGATTAATAAAAACGTCCCTACCCCTCTTCTGAGAACCGAGATGCACGCCCCCTCTCTCCCATGCAGAAGCTGTCGCAACACAAGCGTAACTCCTACACCGCCCAGGAGAAGTTTAAGTGGCTACTGCGCCTGGAGCTTGCGGCACTGGTATCCGAGGTGGTGCGGGAGTCCGGCATCCACCGCAGGTGCTTGACAGAATGGAAGAACCAGGCGCAACAACTCAAGGACACCCACAGCGCACAGAAGCGGCTACATGGGCACGGTAGACCGTCCTGGTACCAGTCGATGGAGATCAAATTCTACTCGCAACACCTTGACTGGCGTCGCCGGGGTGTTGCAGTGTCGGTGGGCCGTCTGCAGGGGTGGTCTCGCGAGGTGATGAAGGTTCTTTTCCCGGATGTTAACTTGAAAGGCAGTCAGCGATGGTCGGAGCGGTTCCGCAAGCGATGGAACCTCAGCGTGCGCATGAAAACCAAGGTGGCGCAGAAAACCCAGCAACGTGAGTAACCTGGTTTCTGTTGAATTCCTGCGAATTCGCATGTTATTCTTATTGTTATGGTTACTCCAGACCCTGTATTTAAAACCTGTTAATTATCCGCCTTCCACTACGTTCTTTCCTCCCCATGCGCAGACGTGGCGACCAAGTGCAAGGATTTTTGGACGTTTGTACGTGAAGCACGGCATGATTACGACATCGACAATCGTTATATCATCAATGCCGACCAGACGCCTCTGTGGCTGGAGATGCCGGCAACAACCACCGTGGAGCAGACGGGCGTGAAGTCGGTGCCCATCCGGAGCGGTGGGTACCAGAAAGAGAGAGTCACCGTGATGCTTGCGTGCACGGCAACGGGGGAGAAGTTGAAGCCGTGGGTGTTTTTCAAGCGCATAGATGTTTTGTTTGTGATGTGTTTTTATTACACTAAAGATAACGACCACGTCTTCTTGCGCAGATGTGGTAGTCGGCTGCCAAGAGAACGGATGGATGGCGGCGGAGAACGTCATCGAATGGCTCGACAAGGCAGTGGTGCCGTTCATCAAGCCGAAGTTTGGTGTGCAGGGGCGGAGCGCGATGCTCGTCCTCGACTCCTACCGTGTTCACCTGACGGACGAGGTGAAGAAAAAAATCGCCCACTACAACATCGTGCCAGCGGTCATCCCGGCGGGCTGCACGGCAGAAGTTCAGCCTCTCGATGTGTCGCTACACAAAAGTTTCAAGGCCAGCGTGCGCCAGTAGTACCAGACCTGGTTCGAGCAGGACGCCATGTGCACACTGGCACCAGCAGGTGAACGGCATGTTCTAACCGAGAGTGCCTTGGTTTCCCCTCTCCCTTGCATGTGCTGCAGGCAACATCAAGAAACCGCCTCCCGCGGTCGTTCTCGGGTGGATTTCCAGGGCCTGGAAGGCAGTGCCCGCCGAACTCATCAAGAAGTCATTCCTGACGTGCAGCATTAGCAACGCACTTGACGGGAGCGAGGACGGGATGGCGATGGTGCACAGGCGGAGCTAGCTTTCGAACGAAGTCGATGTAGACGACGATATCCAAGCTGATGGCTTCTGGGGCAACAATTGCCAGGAGCCAGAGTCCGATGGGGAGGACGACCTCCCTTAGGCTAGACTAGGTGTAGAAGCCATGTGAAGGCTTTAGTATGTTTGGTTGGTAGTCGTTAGACTTGTATGAAAATTTTCATCATAATGGAAAACTAGTCTTGTCGCGAGAGTAGCTAAGGGATGGCTTTTAGAGAAGAACCAACAATAAATAATAATAAAACTCTTTTCCTAAAAAGGGTGGGCTTATAATAAGTAACGATTTCTGAAGGGGTGTGCTTCTAATTGAGGATCGGGCACAAGCGCATTGCTCCAGATATAAGCGCATGCGCTTAACATAGGCCTGCGCTTCTATCCGGGTTGATACGGTACCTGGAATCCAACTTTCACTACACCATCACGTACAAGAAGGGCGCCAACAACATCGCCGACGCCCTGACCCGACCATCGATGCAGACCGCAGCTGTACTCATCACCCACTCCAACCCGCTCTTATCAGGACTATTCGCCCACGGGTACAAAACCGATCGCTTCTTCAAGCGAAACCAACACCACCAATCCACGACGTAGCACGGGAATTATTACCTACAAGCCAGTACGAACCGAATTTGGGTCCCGTCATACCGGCCCTTATAAGAGTTGCTGGCGCAGGAGGTTCACGAGTCTAACCTCTCTGGGCATTTCGGCATCGATAAAACACTCACGCTGCTGCAGCGGAATTATTATTGGCCCGTTATGCTGTAGGACGTGCAGCGCTACGTGACAACCTGCCCGACCTGCCCAGCCGTGAAGTCGTCGCGACAATGGCCAGCTGGATTGCTGCAGCCCCTCGAGCCACCCGAACGACCGTGGCAACAAGTGACGATGGATTTCGTCACCGGGTTGTCAGCTGGCGCAAGTCGCAACGACTCGGTTTTGGTCGTCGTTGACCGTTTAACAAAAATGGCGCATTTCTCACCATGCCGCATGACAATTACAGCCGAAGAAATAGCGAAGCTGTTCATCTCAACCGTCGTACGCCTACACGGGTTACCTTCGGCGATCATCAGCGATTGAGATCCGAAATTTGCATCGAAATTATGGTAGGAGACGTGAGCACAGTACGCCACCCGCTGCAATTTTCATCGTCATACCACCCGCAGACTGGCGGTCAGACAGAAAGGACAAATCAAACCATGGAGCAGCTGATTCACACCAACTGCCCCGACCTGTCCAAATGGGAGGACTCACTCCCGATGCTAGAGTTTGCGTGTAACAACGCACCCTCTGCAACGACTAACCAATCGCAGTTCTACCTGAAGTACAGGATAGACTCCGTGGTACCCTCGTCAACGACCCTCGACAAGTCGGTACCACGATCCTAACAGTTTGTCACGGAACTCCAGGCAGCTCGCGACAAAGCAGCGGAATTTATCCGGAAGGCAAATACTGTCGCTAACCGCAACGCTAATATACGCCAAAGGGATTTACACTTTCGCGACGGGCATATGGTCCTCCTGGACACGAAGAATCTTCGACTGCCCCTGCCGGCGAAACTTCGCCCCCGCTACGTGGGGCCTTTCCGCACCATTAAGATGCTGACACCTGTCACGGCGAAGCTGCTGCTTTCGGATGACTGGAAAATTCACGACGCATTCCTCGTCAGTCTGCTGCGTCATTACGTCGCACCACAGTCGTCCGACGTCCCCCGCCCCAACATCGCGCCAAGTGTTCGCCATGTGGCAGACCCGAGACTTCAGCCCTGGAAGATTTTGAATCATCGAGTGCGTGTGACGCCGACATGACGCCACATCGATTTCGTGCTGCGATGGGTCGATCACACGAGTGAAGATGATACGTGGGTCACGCCCGACTCGCTACAAGGCCACTCGGTACTCCGGGTTTACCTTTCCCGAGGCCACGTGCCTAATATTGACCACCTTTCTTAAAGAGGGGGGATTTTCCCTAAATCCTTACTGCGGTACTCCATACGCGTACAACTCCAACTTTCGGAGTTCCAGGCTCGGTCCAATGACCTCGCCCTCCGAACGTCCCTCGCGTCGCCTTCAGGTTTCCCAACCCCGAACCTGCACCCAACCATTCGCGGTCCCACGACCTCGGCCTGGCTAGCCTTCACTATATGTGTGCTAGGCTTCATTATTCACGCACTAGTTGTAATCACCCGCGTTATTGAATCCTGCGCACTCTTCTTTATACAACTCATAAATAATAAAGAAACGGATGTCTGTGACGGGCTTACATCTGAATAGCTACGGGCTGGTTTAGCCCACAAGTCTCGTGCTACTTATAATCCCGCATGCCTCTTTGGTCGAAATTGTTGCATCGTTCGCGATTCGGCTGAATCGTTTTGTTGCATCCACCGAATCTTCTTGACCTAATGGTTTCCATTTCATGGTTTCACGCCTAGATCCGATCCTACAAGTTTTTTAAGCTTAGGGATTGCCGAAGCGTAGGCGTTGCCGAATGACGAGGCGGCGGCGCGGTCGCGCGGCGGTGGTGGTGGTCGGCGATGTGGGTCGCAGCCCTCGCATGCAGTACCACGCGCTGTCGCTAGCCAATCAGGTGAATCCAACTTCTCGCGACAGTTATCGCCAGCCGTGATCTATACGTATTGCTAGCCAATAGGTTACGAGGTGGCTTTACGTTTCTGTGCGCTATACGCGACGTTCGCTCGTTTCGTCAACGCATTCAGTTGTTACATGGCGAACTGCTCTCAGACCGCGCGGGATTCATTTGCCGGATTTCGTATAAGTTGACACTAACCTTCATGTGAATAGTGACGCACTCTGAAGGCCGTTAAGTGTGCTGAGAATCTAAGAATAGTGAGTTGAAAATGCCTTATCCTGCGGTACCGTGCTGCAGCCAATAGATTCTTTACATGGACTCCTATCGCGGCGCCATTCCTACCAAGTTTACGAAATGCGTTGCTCACATACATGTCACGGAGTATCTTATATTGAGTATAATGGATTCGCGTTACTTATGGTAAGCTCCCTCTTGTGCGTGATGCTTTGGAACGTGCAGGCGGGACTAGAAGTCGACCTTATTGGCTACGCAGGTTAGTCTATATCGAGAGTACGGAATGGAATTACTATGTTTTTTCCTGATTAGAAGGGAATATTCAATTGGACTGAATGGAGCGTGCATATCATTCGACAAAACCTGACATTGCTGTATCCATGTGTCATTCTAAATTAAAAAGTCTCGTTCTCCGCTCATAATAATATACTCACCATTTTCCTGCTTACTGCTCCGTTCTTCCCTTCCCTCTACTGCTCCGCCCCTCTCTTCCACATGTTGCTGTTTGCTTTTCATCCCATCCCATGCTCTCTCCTGCCTCCCTTCCTGTTCCCCCCCCCCTCCCCCCCTCCTCTTCTTCCCCTTCTCCCCATCTCCCCATCTCCCCCACCTTCCCGTTTCTCCTCCCCGCTGCCTTATCCCCTTTTCCGTTTCCTCTGCGTTTGGTCAAGATAGATTTCATCCCCTTCTTCTCCCCACACTCCAAACCTCCCCCTCTCCCCCCCATTTGTCCCCCCCCCGTTTCCCCCTTCCCTCCCCCCTCCCTCCCCCGTCCCCCCCTCTCCCCCTCTCTCCCCTCTGTTCCCCCCCGCCTTTCCATCTTCAAAACCCTAAACCCCGTTCCGCAGGGTCGCAGGTGCACCCCTCAGTGGCGGAGCATCCGCGCATTCACCTGCGCCTGCTGGTGAGAGAGGGCGCGGGATGGGGGGCAAATGGGGGGTGGGCAGGGGGGAAAGAGACAGGAGGGGATTGGGGGCGGCAGGTGCACCCCTCGGTGGCGGAGCATCCGCGCATTCACCTGCGCCTGCTGGTGAGGAGGGGGGGCGGGACGGGGGAGATGGGGGGAGAAATGGGGTGGGGGAGGGAGGGGATGGGGAGAAGGAAAGGGGATAGGGCTGGCAGGTGCACCCCTCGGTGGCGGAGCATCCGCACATTCACCTGCGCCTGCTGGTGAGGAAGGGGGCGGGATGGGGGGGAAATGGGGGGTGGGCAGGGGGGAAAGAGAAAGGAGGGGATTGGGGGCGTCAGGTGCACCCCTCGGTGGCGGAGCATCCGCGTATTCACCTGCGCCTGCTGGTGAGGAAGGCGGCGGAACGGGGGGGACGTGGGGGGATGGGGAGGGTGGGGCTGGCAATGGCAGGAAATGAGTGGGGAGGTGGGGGGAATGGGGAGGAAAGGGAGAAGGGGGAGGGAAGGGCGGGTATAGAAATGGAGAGGGCTGGCTGAGCCTCTGAGATGGGTGGGGAATGATGGGGGAGATGGGGGGTAGGGGGAAAGAGAAGAAGAGGGGAATGGGGGTCCCAGGTGCACCTTTCAGTGTTGGCTGCTGCTGCTGCTGCTGCTGCTGCTGCTGCTGCTGCTGCTGCTTTCCGCTTTCATTCCTTGCTTCCCATCTTCCCCCCTCCTCCGCTCCCCATGTCCCCAGGGTGCCCTTCCCCAGTGGCCTCTCGCATTGCCAAAGTGCTCTGCTTCCTCCCTCTCCCCCCTCCTCTCGCCCCCCGTTTCTCCCCGCCTCTCGCCCCGTCTCTCCCCCCATTTTCTCCCCCTTATTCTCTCAATTTCCCAGGGCATGCCCTTTCCCAGTGGCCTCTCGCGCCTGCTCTACCTGCTGCTGCTGCCCATAAAGCTCATCGCCCAAGTGCTCTGCTTCCTCTCTCTCCCTTTTCCCCCCCTCGTCCTCTCCCCCCTTTCTCTCCCCGCCTCTCCCCCCTTCTCACCCCTTTCCACTCCCCCGTCTCCCCAGGGCATGTCCTTCCCCAGCGGCCTCTCGCGCCCGCTCTACCTGCTGCTGCTGCCCATCAAGCTCATCGCCCAAGTGCTCTGCTTCCTCTGGGTGCTCTGCATCGCCACGCCGCCTCCCGACTTCTACCTTCTACAGGTGAGGCTTTAGACGTCTCAAGCCCCCTTTCTTCCCCCCTCCCCTCACCCGTTCTCCCCCCTCTCCCCGGAATTCCCTCCTCCTGGATTTTTCTTCCACTCCTTCGCTCCCCTCCCACTTTTCCCCAGAAATCCACCCCACCAGCCCCACCTTCACAGTGGTCCGTTTCGCTGGCCTTGTGCGCAGAACCCCTTCCCCACCCCCTTCCCCTTCCCCCCGTCACCCCCCTCCCCCGCTCTCCCCATCAGATCAGAACCCACCCACCATCCCCACCTTCACAGTGGTCCGTTTCGCTGGGCTAGTGCGGCGAGCATCGTTCGTGATAGACTGGCACAACTTCGGATTCACTCTCTTCGGTCTCCACCAACCAAACCAAACCCACTCCCTCTCCCCGCCTCCCCTTCCGCACCCCTCCCCATCCCCCATCCCCCATCCCCCTCAGAACCCACCCACCATCCCGACCTTCACAGTGGTGCGCTTCGCTGGGCTGGTGCGGCGAGCCTCCTTCGTGATAGACTGGCACAATTTCGGATTCACTCTCTTTGGTCTCCGATTCGGCCCCGCACACCCCCTCGTGAAGATCCACAAGTGGTGCGTGCGTGTGCGTGTGCGTGTGCGTGTGCGTGTGTTTGGGGTGTGGGGGAAGGGTGTCAAAATGAGAAGTGTGATTGACTAGAAACAAGTGAGGGTACAAATATGAAACCCTAGAATTGTGAACCCCCTAAAGGCTAACCCACTGTAGCCTACAATAATGCAACCCATATAATGTTTGACACACCCCCATAGGCAAAGTGGGGGAGAACAAGGGGTCACAAGACCAGTCAAAGCAAAGCAAAACAAAACAAGCTTAGGGTGGATCTCAAGGAAACCACACAAATTCCGAGCACAAGCAAATGGTCACAAGACCAGTTCACATGCAGTTTGATAATATAACAAGAGGTACAGTGATCACAACCTAGCAAGTGTACGCATGCAGATATATATATAGAGATCACAGTACAAGCAGAGTCAAGAAGTAAGCAAGTGAGGGAGAGTAGGCACAAGGCCTAGAACAGTACAGAAACGCTGATGATCACAAGGCGGAAGCGCCTTGGTGAACACATCAGCAGTGTTGGCCCGAGTGGCCACGTACGAAAAACGAAGCTGACCACGCTGCTGCAGCTCTCTAGCAAGGAAGTAGCGCAGAGCGATGTGCTTCGTTCTGTGCTCCAGTCTGTGCTCCTGACACAAGGCAATGGCTGCCTTGTTGTCGACGTACAGCACTGGAGGAGAACGAGGCCGCTCTCCCAGGTCGGTCAGTAGGTAGGTGAGCCAGCGAAGCTCCTGGGCAGCCATGGCTGTGGCGTAGATCTCAGCCTCGCAACTGGAGCTGAGAACAGAGGAAGAGCGTGTAGAACGCCAAGAAACGGAGCCAGAGCCAAGGCTGAAGGTGTAACCCTGAGACGACCGCTGAGTAGCCTGGTCGTCAGCCCAAGAAGCGTCTGAGTGTCCAGTGAGGACAACGTCGCGCCGTCCTCCAAGCACAAGCCCCATGCCCGACGTACTGCACAAGTAGCGCAACACCCTGTTAGCGGCATCCATGTGCTCCTTCCGGTGACGGCCAGGAGCGACATAGCGTGCTAGGATGCTAAGAGGGTAGGCTAGGTCAGGTCGAGTGCAGGTCATCAGGTACATGAGGCAACCCACAAGCTCTGGATACGGGCCACTCGGCTCTACGGACTCATCCGAAGGCAGAGCTGAGAGCGAGTGACCAGTAGGCAGAGGAGTGGGCTGAGGCGAGGAGTACGTGAAGCGGAAGCGCTGAAGGACCTGCTGCACCATGTGTGACTGAGTCAAGGTGATGGTGCGCTGTGCTCTGTCCCGGGTGATCCGCAAGCCAAGATAGCTTGTCAGTTCACCCAGGTTTGTGCACGTGTGTCTCTTCTGCAGTTCCGACTTCACGTGGGCGAGTGCCTCAGTGTCAGCAGTAGCAAAGACCAAGTCGTCTACGTACACGAGAACGTAGAACGGCGGCAGAGTGGTGTCGGTGCGTAGAAACAGCGACGGGTCAGCAGTAGAAGGAGCAAACCCAAGAGCAGCAAGAGTAGTCCTCAGTGTGTCGTGCCACTCACGAGGTGCCTGGCAGAGACCGTAGACTGGCCGCCGGAGGCTCCACTGGGTACCAGGAGGGAACGACCCAGTGAAGCCAGGTGGGCGGCGCAGCCAGATCTCCTCGTGCAGGGTGCCCTGTAGGAACGCAGTGCTGAAGTCAAGGCAGTGGAGCTCGTAGTCACGCTGAGCAACGACGTGCAGTAGAACCCGAAGAGTGGTCATCTTCGGGGTCGGGAAGAAGGTCTGGAAGAAGTCAACTCCCTCTCGCTGACTGAAGCCTCGTGCAACGTAACGCGCCTTGAAGACAGGCGGAGAACCCGGCGGCCGCTTCACCCTGAAAATCCACATGCCACTGACGATGTTCGCCCCAGGTGGGGGAACCTCGTCGACGTAAGTGCCTGTGGACTTCCAGGAAGCCATCTCTGCGTCCATGGCTGTCTGCCACTGAGAGGAGTAGAGACCCTCCATCGCCTCTGCGTAGGAGCGTGGGGTCGGGATGTCTGGTGCATCCGGGTCTCCCTCAGGGGCAATCAGCATGGACACGAGATGAGGTAAAGCAGCAGCAAAGCACTCAAACTCCTCCTGTCTGTCCTCAAGGACGTCCGTGCCAAGAGCACACTCACCCCCGACGGACGGAGGACAGACAGACTCAGACTCAGCAACAAGGCTAGCGGCGTAGTCTAGACGACAGGCGGCAGCAAAGTCAACAAGCTCAGCGACTAGAGCAGACGCAGCAGAGGACTCAAAGGTAGGGTCAGTGACAACAGTGGCAAGGAGACGCGCGACAGTAGGACTGACAGCACGAGTAAGGTCTGACGGCGGGTCAGCAACGTCAGGAAGAGAGGACGCAGGAGGAGACGGCAGAAAGACGCGCTGTGGAGCAGTGGAAGGACGCAGGGTCATATAGTGAGTGCCAAGGACAGGAGGAGGGCGCCGACGCGGAGCACGACGACCAGCGCGGGCAGTGCGGACAGGTGACTCTGGACGCGACTCAGGCGACTCTGGACTAGACTCAGGCGACGGAGGACGAGACTCAGGCTCACGACGCTCCGTAAAGCTACCTGTCGGCGCAGTGTAAGGAGAAGGACCAGGCAGTGGAGAGGCAGGCTGTAACTGTGACCGCGACTGGACAGGCGGTGGACTCAGTAGGGGAGGAGGAGTAGGACCAGGAGAGGGCGGGAGACCAAGAACCTGCTGAAGGAGCAGAACGTAGTACGGCCGCAGCCGCTCAGCACCTCCAGCTCCAACCCCCTCAGCAGCTCCAGTCCCAGCCGCACCACCAGCAGCACCTCCAGCAGCGCCAGCAGCACCGCCAGCAGCAGCAGCACCTCCAGCAGCTCCAGCTGCACCAGTACCAGCAGAACCTCCAGCAGCTCCAGAAGCACCAGCACCAGCAGCGCCAGCACCAGCAGCACCTCCAGTGGCTCCAGCAGCACCTCCAGCAGCAGCAGCACCTCCAGCAGCTCCAGCAGCACCTCCAGCAGCTCCAGCAGCACCAGCACCAGCAGCACCTCCAGCAGCACCAGCACCAGAGTCCACGACACGAGTAGCGCCACTCCGGAGACTGCAGAGCCGAGCGTACCACTCTCGGAGCCGCTGAGGAATTGGCGGCTCCCGCCTAGGAGGGGGGGCACGAGCACCAGCTCCAGAAGTACCCCTCCTGAGGCTGCAGTACTGTAAGTACCACTCACGCAGCTGCTGTGGGGAGGGAGCGCCTCCAGGTGAAGCACCCTCTGGCTCAGTACCCTCAGTCGTAGCACGGCCAGGCTCAGCACCCCCAGACTCAGCACCCGCAGGCTCCGCACCCCTAGGCTCAGCACCCCCAGACTCCGCAACCCCAGGCTCCGCACCCTCAGGCTCAGCACCCCCAGACTCCGCAACCCCAGGCTCCGCACCCCCAGGCTCAGCACCCCCAGACTCCGCAACCCCAGGCTCCGCACACTCAGGCTCAGCACCCCTAGCAGGACGAGAGTCGACAGCTACCTCGACAGGCTCAACCGGGTCTACCTGGGACACACCTGAGGGAGCGGCACCCTGAGGGGGGAGGGGTCTACCACAGCAGCACCTGGCGCGAGGAAGAGAGGCGGGGGGGGGAGCGGGGCAGTGCGGTAGGGGAAAAGGCGGTAGTAGGGCACCGACTCGTCAAACGTGACGTCCTGAGAGCACAGGACACGGCGCGAGGTGGCGTGGTAAAACTGCCAACCAGACGCGTCGGGGACAAAGCCAAGGAAGACGCAAGGAACAGCGCGGGAGGAGAGCTTGTCCGCGGACGTATCGCGAACAAAAGCTCGAGATCCCCAGACCCGAAAACGCGACGCATCGCCAACCTCTCCCGTCCAACGCAGTGTCGGCGAAGTCTCCGGAACAAAGACACGGGGCCAGAGGTTGAGCTGATGCGCAGCGTATCGGACCGCAAACGGCCACAGAAAGTGGGGAGCAGCCGCATGGATCAAGGAGGTACGAGCGACCTCCATGACCAGGCCAATGCGGCGCTCAGCAACCCCATTCTGCTGTGGAGAGGCTGGAAGCGTGAACGACTGGCGGATGCCGTGCTCCGCACAGTAGGCTGCCAGGAGGTCGGAGGAGAAATCACCACCTCTGTCAGAGTGCAAACGCAGAACAGGAAAGTCCGAGTGGAAACGCTCGCTGAGCTGGAGACGAGAAGCGCTGATCCAAGGGATCAAAACATCAGGGACCTCACCCTTGGTGCGCAAGGAGAAGACCGTGGTGTAGCGCGAGTAGTCGTCAACAACAATCAGGAAGTACCTCTCCTGACCCTGTTCACGGACGCGGGCTGGGCCCCACACGTCCATGTGGAGCGTCTGCAAGGGAGCAGTCGTCGGGGGAAACGAGGAGGAGTGAGGAGCGGCGCGCTGCCGCCCCTCGACACAGGGAAGACAGGGAGGAGCAGGCAAGGGTGGGAGGGGAGGAAGAACCCTGGGAAGACCAGAGACAAGGTACCGTTTGTGCATGCCACGAAGGCGCTGCACTGACGGGTGACCAAGGCGGTGGTGCCAGAGGACGGTCTCGTGTGCCAGAGAGCGACACGAGCAGGGGGCTGACAGCTGACCTGACGCAGACGCAGTCGCAGCTACCTGAGAGGACTCAGTGGTCAGTGTGTACAGGTCCGACCCCGGCTGCCGAGTGAAGGTAGCCAGGTGGCGACCCGTCCGAGCACACGTGCAGTGTGTCACACGCTCGTAGGCAGGGGTGAACTGGTGGACACCCCCGTCCCGAAGAGCACTACCTGCCACCAAGTTCGTAGAGAACGAGGGGAGGTTGAGACCCGACAGTGTGCCCGACGGGACCGCAGGACAAGGGAGGACAGTGGAGGAGGTCGCAATGACCGGACCCCCAGAGGGGTCAGCAAGGGAGACAGCAACCGGCCGAGCAAGCTGCTCTAAGGCAGTGCGGTCACGAAAGAAACAGCGAGAAGCACCTGAGTCCAGTGTGAAGGTGTGCAGTGCCTCAGTACCGAGGGGCGCAAACTCACGAGCACCTAGAGCAGCAGCCTCACTAGTACCTGGGGCAGCAGTCTCACCAGCACCTGTGACAGCAGACGCACTGGCACCTAGAGCGGCAGCCTCACTGGTCCTAATACCTGGGTCAGGCGGGACACGCAAGTACTGGTCACTCTCTCCAATAATAGTCAATGCATACATGGCACCAAGGATAGCATCAAAGTCAAGAGCAAAGACATCAATATTCTTTTTCATCAGATCAGCCCAGCGGGGCAGCTCAGTGGCGTCAGGAAACTGTGCACGCCAGGCGTCGTCGAGACGAAAGAAGCAGCGGTGTGCCGTGTGGAACCTCCCACAGGTCTGGCCAGTGCGGTCACCTGTGCGGATAAGGTACGGGCAGGTACCTCCACCCCCAGACCCCCCACGCTGAGAGTACCACTCACGGAGCTGCTGGGAGGTCGGGGTCTCGCCTGGACGCTGCTGCTGCTGCCTCTGGCCTCCACGCTGCACCGCCCCACCACGCCCGCCACCAGCTCCACCGCCGCCACCACTACCACCGCCACCCCCACCACCGCCGCCGCCACCACCCCCTCCTCCGCCACTGACCCCCCCCCCACCAGTACCACTCCCACCACCGCCGCCACCCCCGCCACCCCCACTACCACCACCGCCACCACCCCCGCCTCCTCCACCCCCTCCACTGCCGCCACCCCCGCCTCCACCTCCGCCACCCTTGCCCCCCTTGCCCTTGCCGCTCTTGCGCCTCCAACTAGGAGCAGACGCAGCCCCGACCTCCTCAGCACCGAGGTAGTCGACAGCAGCAGCAGATGCAATGGAGGGGAGGAGGGGGACGGGGGAGCACCCCTCAAAGAAGGGGGAGCGGGGGTCGCCACGAGAGGCACCTACAGCTACAATGCTCTTCTCAGCTGCTAGGAGTTCTTTCTCGAGGAGGTCGACAGTGAGGTCAGTGGGGGAGAGGGCGAGAAAGTGGTCCCTGACAGTGCGAAGGGAGTCAGAGAGGCGGGTGACAAGGTGGTACAGTGTGAGGTACATCGGGGGGGGGGTTCTTCGCGAGGAAGTCGGGGGGGAGCGCGGCACGGTAGCGGAGGTCACTGGTACGGAGGTGGGTGATGAGGTCAGCTACAGTGGCAAAGGCGGACAGGTCGGGAAAGAGGTAGCGCAGTGAGAGACGGCCTATAGTAGCAGTGGCAGGGGAGGAGTAGCGCGCGATTACGGCGTCGTACAGTTCCTTAGCGGTCTTATGCTGGCCGAAGTGCTCGCGCTCATCTAACGGCAGGTGGCTGCGAACGGCTAGGCGAGCGTGAGCATCACGGGTCTGCCACTGGGAGCGAGCAGTACTGTCAACAGTAGCGGCAGGTGCGGGAGCGGCGCCTGACGTGTGGTCATACAGGGAGACATCGTCCTTGGCCGTGATCTGGAGGAACAGGTGCAGGTCATCTAACCAAACCTCGAACTTAATCGGGCGGCCCTCAGCGTCAAAGGTGAGAACAGAGGGAGTAGCCATAGTGGCAGTAGCAGCAGTAGGAACAATAGCAGTAGTAGCAGTAGCAGTAACAGTGGCAGCTGAAGCAGTAGTACGGCAGGTACAGTAGGGCGGCGCGGCTCGGCCTGGGCGGCGCGGCTCGGTTCGGGCGGCGCGGCTCGGTTCGGGCGGCGCGGCTCGGTTCGGGCGGCGCGGTTCGGCTCGGGCTGGGCTACGCGGCGGTGCGCGACGGGGGGCGTGCACACGGGCGGCTGTAGCTGGCGGGCCGTGGCCGTGCGTGGGCCTAACTAGCGCGCGGGCGGCCTAGAGGGCGACGGCGCGGCCTACGGGCGGGGCTGCCTGTCGCTAGCGGGCTACGCGCGGCCAGGAGGGCCCGTCGACGGGCTGCTAGCGGGCGGCTCGTGGCAGCGTGGGCGGCTAACGGGCGGCGCGCGCGCAGAAACGGCTGCGCGCGGGCTGCTAGGGGTCGACGCGCGCGGAAAAAAAAAAAAGGCCGCGCGCGGCACTAGCGAGCCGCGCACGAGCAGCAGGAGAAGAGTAGGCGCACGAGGGCGCTCCAGGAGGAAGGCGCTCGAGGGCGCTAGGTGAATATGGCGCTCGAGGGCGCTTCTAACGGTGGGCCCTTAGGTGAGTCCTAGGTCTAGAACCTAAGCTCTTAATACCATGTCAAAATGAGAAGTGTGATTGACTAGAAACAAGTGAGGGTACAAATATGAAACCCTAGAATTGTGAACCCCCTAAAGGCTAACCCACTGTAGCCTACAATAATGCAACCCATATAATGTTTGACAAAGGGGGGGCGAGGGAGGTCGGGTTTTGTGGTTTGGGAGGGTGGGTACCAAAAGGATTTCAACTTCTGCTTCACCCTCTTTGGCCCCGCACACACCCTCGTGAAGATCCACAAGTGGGGCGTTCTGAAGGGGTTTGATAGAGGTGCACTGCGGTTGGGCTCCCGCGCACTCTTTAGCCTCATTCGTCATTTGACTTAGACTTACCCCATGCCTCTTTGACTCCCTACCCCCTGTCCCTTACCCCATGCCCCTGCTTCTCTGCCCCTGCCCCCATGCCCTCTACCCTCGGCCTCGGCCCCGGGCCCCCCTTCGTCTTGCCCTTTGCGCCCCATGCTCTATCCCTCCGTTTTTATTCCTCCCCCACCAGGTATGAGATCACCATCGCCCGCCAGGCAGCAGCGCACATATGCGTGACTCGAGCAGGCATGCAGCATGTGTACATATCTTCATCTTCATCCACCCGTCTCCTCCCTGTACCTGCCTTCCTCTCTCCCGCCCCGTGCCCCCCCTCCCATCCTTCCCCTCCCTCCCCCCACCCACCAGGTACGAAACCACCATAGCACGCCAGGCAGCGGCGCACATATGCGTGACTCGAGCCATGCAGCATCTACATATCTCCGTGTGCCCCCTTGCCTCTGCCACTCTGCCCCCTTGCGTCTGTCTGCCCCCTTGCATCTGCCCCCTGTGCTTCCCCCAGGTACGAGACCACCATAGCCCGCCAGACAGCGGCGCACATATGTGTGACTCAAACAACCACGCCCCATGTACTTATTTGCACCTGCCCCCCATTCCTCCCCACCAGGTATGAGACCACCATCGCACGCCAGGCAGCGGCGCACATATGTGTGACTCGAGCCATGCAGCAGGAGCTGGCGAACAACTGGGATATACGGTGAGGTGGGGAGGGGTGTAGAGGCATGTAGAGGCGTGTAGAAGGGTGAGAAGGCGCTTTCCTGCTCTCCTCTGCGTGCTTTTCTTATCTTCATGAATTTTCTTCTCTGCTCTCCATTCTTTTCTTTTCTTATCTTCGCTTCTTTTCAGAGCCACTGTGCTGTACGACCGCCCTCTGAGCCTTCTTTTCTTATCTTCACCTACCTCGAAATGTGCTCTACTGCTGCTGTTCGTCATACTTGTATTCTCTCCGTGCTTCCCTGCTCCGCATGCCCCCTCAGAGCCACTGTGCTGTACGACCGCCCTCCTGCCTTCTTCCGACCCAGCTCCCTTGAGGAGATGAGAGTGGTGCGCATGGGTTGAGAGTGGTGCGCATGGGTTGAGAGTGGTGCGCATGGGTTGGGGGAGCACGCATTGGTTCGGCGAGGTGTGCATGCGTTGGGAGGTTTAATATTGTCTGACCTCCATCTATCCTTTTCCTTTGTATACAGTATACCCCGCACTCCCCTTTCCCCTATCGCCTTGGCCTATTCCCCGTTTCCACTCCCCTTGCCCCATTCCTCTGTCCCCACTCCCCTCGCCCCACCCCCCTCACCCCGATTCCCCTGCCCCACTCTCTTGGTCCCACCCCCCTCTCCCCAGCCCCCTTGTCCCACGTTGTTCTCTCCCCTTGTCTCACGTTCCTCGACCCATTCTGCTTCCTCTACTACCTTTGACCCCTTACAGGTTCTGGGCCGCATCGACCAATCACTGCTCGACAGCTGTTTCTCCCCACCTGCACCAGGTACTTTCATTTCACTCACTTTCATTTCAGTCACTTTCATTTCAGTCCCTTGCTTTCAGTCCCTTGCTTTCAGTCCCTTGCTTTCAGTCCCTTGCTTTCAGTCCCTTGCTTTCAGTCCCTTGCTTTCAGTCCCTTGCTTTCAGTCCCTTGCTTTCAGTCCCTTGCTTTCAGCCCCTTGCTTTCAGCCCCTTGCTTTCAGTCCCTTGCTTTCAGTCCCTTGCTTTCAGCCCCTTGCTTTCAGCCCCTTGCTTTCAGCCCCTTGCTTTCAGTCCCTTGCTTTCAGTCCCTTGCTTTCAGTCCCTTGCTTTCAGTCCCTTGCTTTCAGTCCCTTGCTTTCAGTCCCTTGCTTTCAGTCCCTTGCTTTCAGTCCCTTGCTTTCAGTCCCTTGCTTTCAGTCCCTTGCTTTCAGTCCCTTGCTTTCAGTCCCTTGCTTTCAGTCCCTTGCTTTCAGTCCCTTGCTTTCAGTCCCTTGCTTTCAGTCCCTTGCTTTCAGTCCCTTGCTTTCAGTCCCTTGCTTTCAGTCCCTTGCTTTCAGTCCCTTGCTTTCAGTCCCTTGCTTTCAGTCCCTTGCTTTCAGTCCCTTGCTTTCAGTCCCTTGCTTTCAGTCCCTTGCTTTCAGTCCCTTGCTTTCAGTCCCTTGCTTTCAGTCCCTTGCTTTCAGTCCCTTGCTTTCAGTCCCTTGCTTTCAGTCCCTTGCTTTCAGCCCCTTGCTTTCAGCCCCTTGCTTTCAGCCCCTTGCTTTCAGCCCCTTGCTTTCAGCCCCTTGCTTTCAGCCCCTTGCCGTACTGCTTTCTGATGCGTCTCAAACACCCCGCATTACACCCCCCCCCCCCCCCCCCTTCCCCCCGTGCCTACTATTCGCGCATATTGTGACTACCATCGCATCGCACCACATCGCACCACGTCTCACCACTTCTCACCGCTTCTCACCACTTCTCGCCGCATCAGGAACCACACAGTGGACTCTCAGACCGGACCGCCCTGCCCTTGTTGTCAGCAGCTCCAGCTGGTGCGTTGCCTGGTTGCCTGGTTGCCTGGTTGCCTGGTTGCCTGGTTGCCTGGTTGCCTGGTTGCCTGGTTGCCTGGTTGCCTGTTTGCCTGTTTGCCTGTTTGCCTGTTTGCTTGTGGCTTTGCCTTTGTCTGTGCTTGTGCTTCTGCCTGTGGCTTTGCTTGCCTCTGCCTGTGGCTTTGCTTGCTTCTGCCTGTTTGCCTCTCCTTTTTTACTTCTACCTGTGTCTTTCCTTGTGCCAATGTCTGTGCCAGTGCCGCCATGCCCCCACCCACACACTTACACCCTAAATCCCCCCCTCTCACACACTGCAGGACTGCGGATGAGACTTTGATGTGCTGCTAGAAGCTGCGCTCATGTATGACAGGCGCGTGGCATCGATGGCACGAAGAGAACCTTATTACTCCTTCCAACCATTTCTCACCACACCACACACCCACTGCAGGACTGCGGATGAGGACTTTGATGTGCTGCTGGAAGCTGATCTCATGTATGACAAGCGCGCGGCAGCTATGGCAGGGATAGAACCTTCTCACTCCTTTTAACCCTTCTCCACCACACCACCAGGACTGCGGATGAGGACTTTGATGTGTTGCTGGAAGCAGCGCTCATGTATGACAGGCGCGTTGCTGCAATGGCAGGGAGAGGGGAAGGGTAGGGCCTTCTCACAACCTTTCCACTCCTTCCAACCGTTCCCCACCACACTGCACACACTCACAGGACTGCGGACGAGGACTTTGATGTGCTGCTAGAGGCAGCGCTCATGTATGACAGGCGCGTGGCTGCTATGGCAGGAGAAGGGGAGTTTGGAGGAGAGGGAGGAGGTGAGGGGGGAGGGAGAGCTGAAACCCCTCTGCTTGATTCTAGAGGAACCGATGGGAGATCACAAGCAGCAGCTGCAGCAGCAGCAGGAGGAACAGAAGCAGCAGCAGCAGGGGCAGCAGAGGCAGCCAAGGATTCCTCTAGTGGTGGTTCAAGAAGCGGTGCAGCAGGAGAGGGTGAGCAGGGAGTGGGGGTGACGGCAGAAGGAGGAGCAGGGGTAGGAGCAAGTGGAGGGAGGTTGAAGACGGGAGCAAGATTTCCCAACCTGGCGTTTATTGTTACCGGTGAGGATAACATTGTTACACGTTGGTGGTCAGGATTCAAGGCTTTTACAGCCTTTTTCTTCTTTAATTACGTCAAACACTATGCGGCATCAACGAGTCCGATTTTTTCCTTTTTTTGCTTCTTTTCCTTTCCTGAGAGGTGGGGGGAAGGAAATTGCCTCAGAAAGACACCCCATCTGCGTGTGTGTGTTTATGTGTGTAGTGAGAATTTGTATGAACAGGCAAGCAAGTGCAGCACCCATTTTGAGGCGCCTCAAAACGACTTTTGAGGCGCCTCTGAAGAATTTGTTTGAACAGCCAAGCAAGTGCAGTGCAGCACCCAAACCTGGTCTCTCTTCCCTCTCTTCTACTCTCTGGTGCCACTGTTCCCTCTCTCTTCTCTCTCTTCCCTTTCACTTCTTCTCCCCTCTGTTCTCTCTCTTCCCTCTCTCCTCGCACTCTTCCCATCTCCCGTCTCTCTCTTCCCTCATCCATCTCTCTCTTCCCTCCTCTAGGCAAGGGAGCCCTCCGATCGCACTACGAGGCCAAGATGCGACGGCTGAGATTGCGCCACGTGTCCTTCCGAACCGCGTGGCTTGCTCCGGAGGACTACCCGAGGCTGCTAGGCTTGGCAGACCTGGGCGTGTCTCTCCATACCTCGTCCTCAGGCTTGGATCTGCCGATGAAAGTGGTGGACATGTTTGGGTGCGGCCTTCCCGTGTGCGCCATCTCCTATTCCTGGTGAGTCCGTGACTTGATGGAGAGTGTTACAACTCACAATCCCACAGGCCTGGATCTGATCAGGTTTGGATTTGCCCTCCCCCTCTGGACCGCCCACCTTTCTATTTGGTTTTTGTTCCTCCCCCCCCCGCCCGTAGCATCCACGAGCTAGTAAAGGATGGCACCAATGGCCTCCTCTTTTCAGACTCTCCGCCCACCTTCTTCTTCCCCACCTCCCGCTCCATTCCATTCCTCGTTTCTCTGTCCTTCCAATCAGCATCCACGAGTTAGTAAAGGACGGCACCAACGGCCTCCTCTTTTCTGACTCGTTGCGTCTCTGTTTGCTTCACTCCCCTCTCCGTGCTCCCCATCCTCTTCCGTCCAATCAGCATCCACGAGCTAGTAAAGGACGGCACCAACGGCCTGCTCTTCTCAGACTCCTCAGAGCTCGCCTCGCAACTCGTCGACATCTTCTGCGGCTTCCCAGAAGGTTCCGTCGCTCTCAAGCCCCACTCTCCCTCCACTACCTATTCCTCGGCATTCGCTTCCTCTTCCTCCTCGGCCCCCTTATCCACACCTCCCACATCACCCACGTCTCCCTCATCTGCTCCTTCCTCCGTTACTCTGCTTCAGAAGCTAAGGTCTGGCGCCCTTGCTACAGGGGCTGCTGGTAAGTGGGCGGATGAATGGGGTGTGAATGTGCTTCCTCTGGTGGAGAGATTATCTGGGGGTGATTTACGAGGTGTAATGAGGTGATTGGGTGTAGATGTAGTTTTGATACCTTGCGGTAGTATCCGGTGGGTTGATTATATCAGTTGGGCTGTGGATGTGACTGGTTAGGTTGTATTCTCACACTTTCACTGAGGCAAATAAATGATTCTGGTGTCATTAAGTTTCTTATTTTATTCGTTATACACTGACATCAGTATGACAAGTAACACGTTGGAATTGTACCGGTAGTCCCCCCTAAAAGCACAGGAATTCTCTTTGCCAGCTCAGCATAACCTAATGTCCGATCTGGGGAGAGGGGGAGGGGTGAGGGGGACGCTTGATTTGGGGTTGCTGCTGCTGGATGGATCAGCCTGGCGCGGGGAGGACCATTGTTCGAGTTTCGGGCTCGGCGGGGAATGATGGGTTGGGGTTTGGGTAAAGGCATCTTCTGGGAATGAAACTGGATCTACAGTACATCTACAGTCATGGAAATACTGTAGGGGCCTTTTGGACGCTCACGTCCTCGCTCCTCACCACCACTCAAATTTCTTCAGCACGACACGAGTCATCACATCAATAAACAAGGACCTTCCACGCAGCGCTGTTATAGAAATGGACAAAGGCATCCCAAGCCAGAACGAGCACCGTCCTTGGATTGTAATTTCAGTGCCATTCCTCCTCAAGAAATCAACAGTTACTGTTTTTCTTGTATGGGAATCTTCAAATGATGCACTGCCCGATGCTGCCCGTTTTGCTTGCGCGAATTGAAGCGGGGTGTCCTTAACAGTAAAATGAAGAATTATATGGTACATATCACACACAAATCCTTTGTTATACTTTGGAGAATTGCTGATAGATGGAAGTTTGTGTAAAAAGGCGGCCCTGGAAAGCTAACATGGGTACTCCTGCTTTTCGCTCTGTTCCCACACCCGCCTCGTTGGGACTCGTGAAGTGTGTTAATGTATTATTATCTGACCCTAAAGAGTAAACTGTTGGGGTTTAGGACAAGACAAGAATCTCCACAAGCCACTGCTTTGTCAAGCAAGACAAGGTCCCAACCAAACGAGTTCAAGGTCCTGGTTTACAGAAAAGGTTTACTCGAAATCACGCGGTTTTTGCCAGAAAAGGTCAACAACGTATCTTGCAGATCTAGCCATCTCCAGCGAGTCCACCTGGACATGGATGGCATGCCATGGCATGGCATGTGGCAAGGTGAAAAGAACCCATCGCATAATCGCATTCCCCCACCTTCTTTCCACCTTCTGCCTCCTGCCCGTCACTTCCCGCTTTCCCCCAATTCCTAAATTTCAGGCAACATTGGGCCCACAGATACTGTTTCGTGCAAACAAACACATGCGGGATGTGGCGGAACGGAATGCCAGCTCGAAAACAAACGAACATAACGACAAGAAAATCTAATCGCCTAGTTTACAGCTTGCAGCTTCTTTTCCAGCGTGTTTTCTTTGCGCGTGACTGCGTGCCAGCGAGTTTACTAGTTGCGTTGCGACTCATCGCCTCAACTCGCCCTCGCCTCTCCTCTCCTCTTCCCCTCCTCTCCTCTTCCCCTCCTCTCCTCAACTGTTTCACAACCCAATTAAATATCAGCCTGCCGTAATTGTTCCGTTTTGTTCTGTTCCGTTCCGTTTCACTTGGGATACTGATCATGCATAGGTCCCACTGCTAGTTCTAATATCTGCTCTGAATCCCATCTGTCCGCTGCCCACTTACCCTGGTCCCACTGCCCACTCGACCACTGGTCCTATCATTTCCATCCACACATCCTGTCTCTCCTTTTCACGTCGGCCCGTGGATATCTCAAGACGAACAAGGGAGCGAGCTTTCACTTCTTCTTTTGTCAAGGGGAATTGGCTCGGTCATCGTTCCAGCATAGCCGCTCCTGATTTCGGCATGGAAGCTGACCTCGTAGCGGCTAAGTTTGAAATGGACGAGCTTTATTCCAAGATAACGTCGTCCATGGCTCCAAGCTCCTCAAGCAACGGTACCCGCGATCCCCGTGTCCCCGAAAATGGCAAGCCCAATCTCGGGAGACGGCTCGCCGTCCGTCTTCTCGTCGGCGGCGACGTCGAATCGAATCCCAAAACCCTCGCCGCTGCAGCCGCCGCGAATGCCGCCTTCAATGCCGCCGCAAAAGGCAAGGCGCTGGTTCCCGATATCGACATACCCGCCCATGTCAAGCGCGTTACTAGACCACCCGTCGGTAGTTCCCGCCTATCTTCGGTCACGTGCGCGCCAGCACCCGCGGATCATGCACCCGGGGAGTCCTCCGCAGGTCCCAGCAAGCCTGCATCCGCGGCGGAAGCTGCACAAGGCTCGCGGAGCAACAGGTCCGCGCAACACGCTGTTGTCGCGCGGAAGCCGCGCGCCGCCAGGCCTTCCGCGAGCAGCATTTTCCGCGCCTCCAGCGTCTTGTGCGAACGACAAGCAGCCATTGCCATGTCCCTGGAATCCAGCAGCAGCATCGACAGCAACAGCAGCACCGCGTGCGAAAAGCCGTCGCAGGACGACCCGATGGACGAATTTTTCGCGATAATGGAGCAATTCGTGGAGGAGCCGGTTGAAATGGAGTACCTCCGCGCCGCGGAGGCCGCCAGGCGGAACCGGAAGGGCCCGAGCGACGCAACCGGCGCAAGCGGCGTGAAGGGTGGGAAGCCGCAGATCACTCGCCAAAAGTCACAAAATAAAGAGTTCGCCCGCCAGCCTTCCTTTCAAGAATCGCCTGTCTCCGCACCACCCGCGCAAGCCCCTGTTACGCAGCGTCATCAACATCAGCGCCAGAAAAGCTTCGCTGGTGTTTTCCCGAATACTTTCAACGATCAGAATTCAAGCGCTACCGGCCGCGGTACTGGTTCAAGTCACTCCGGCTCGTTCGAGTTGAACCCTGCGTTACAGTCACACCAACGCTCGGCGTCAATATCGCAGAATCATCACCACGCGCGCCGGCCGAGCCGCGTAGGAGACATGCTCGAATCCTCTCCCTCCGTCTCTATGCGCGAAACCTCGGTAGCGGCAACACCCAGTGGTAACCGCCGGTTGTCGCACCCTTCAGTGTCTAGAGAGCGCTCCCGTTCGTTCTGCGACCGGGTCACCCAAGTGGAGCCGGCCGACGAAGCGCGACTGGCGGGATCGAATGGTGCTGCTGCGGGCATTGCGACGTCGGGTAGTGCCAGCGTTGGCCGCTCCGCAGCGGTTTCTTTTGCGCGGTCAGATTCATTCGCCATACCCGCCCGCGTCGTTTCCTCTACTTCGCGGGACCCACGGGAACAGCAGGAGCAGCGCGAGCAACAAAGGGAGACGGAAGTTTTCGAGGCGTCGCAGCAGCGCGAGCTCGAGTCGCTCATCGACGCGCTCAAGGCAGAGATTTGCGCCAAGGACCAGCTTCTGGGAGCGTCGGAGGGCGAGCGGAAATTGTTGGAGGAGGAGCTTCGCAGCGCGTGGGATCACGTGGCGGATTTGGAGCGCCAGCTGGAGGGCATGCAGGTGGCAGGCGCAGCGATGGAGCGGGAGATCGAATCCCTCCGCGCGCAGGCGAACAAACGCTCCCCGCGCCGTGGCGGAAGCGAAGGGGACATGGCGGTGGGGAATCATATTTTGGAGATGGAGCGGGCTTTGGGGGAGCTTACGCGCAAGCTCGCGGCGACGGAGAGTGCGCTTCAGCGGTCGGAGGCGCAAAACTCAGAACTGTCCGGCAAAGTAGCTGTGCGGGAAGACGAGCTTGGGCGGACGAAATCCGCACTGCAGCAGGCTGAGCTGGAAAGGGATTCGCTCGCCGACGAAATGGAGGCTGCACTTGCCAGCTGGGCGGCAGACAGCCCCCGAATCTCCCCTTCCAGTGCAGATCCCTCTGCTGCAGCTGGCGAAATCCAAAAGCAGGAAGCTGCGAAACTCGCGAACGCTCTCCAGGCAGCTCAGCGAGAGCTTCAAGTCGTTCAGGCGGAGCGGAATTCGCTTCTCTTCGCTGTTGGGCAGCCCAGGCGACAGGAGCCGCGACCCTCTACGAGCAACCAGTACAGTGCCGGAAGTCGCAATCGCTCGCTCACCCCTCCCCCGACTCACTCCCTTGCGACTTCTTTCTCCGCGTCTAGTCGTAGCGGGCCCATGGAGCTCCAGCGAAACTTCGGCATGGAGGCATCGCCGCCGCAGTCGGGGCAACAGAAGGGTCGCCATGTGCACTTCTCACCTCGCACTGCGGACGTGAAAGTCTCTGCCAATTAGGGTACCGTACTAAGAGCATTATGGTGTCTGTTTTCACCTTCCGTATGTAAGGTTTTCATTCCTAACTCTTAATATTATACATATGCTACTTTCTTATTTTCTAAGGTACCTATCTACCAACGAGCTATTTGAAGGGTTAGGCGAAACGTTGTAAGGGGCCATGATCAAATCGTAATTATGCATGAAGAAATGCAGAAAGCTGTGAAGTTCGTTGCAGATCTTGCAAAGGCTTTTGAAGCACAGTTCGCAGCCAACTCCCCGAAGATGTACAGTCGGAAAATTATTCAAATGTTATTACGTTACACTGCAACATATAAATGGAATTCACAGTGTCACGCAGAAGCAGTAGCCACTGCCATGAGGCTACTAAGAACCTAAAACGACCGGAGACAGCAGGCGATAGCAGCCTCGCTCATCACGAAGTATGTCTGACAATGTCAGCCTCGCTCATCAAGCCGACCGACGCGAGCAGCGCCGCAAACATAGCGCACCGACGACAAACTCCAAGAGTACGGCTCCTGGGAAAAGATGTACAGTACCGAGTCACGAACGCCGAAATGTGTGCATCACCGAAGAGCTCTAGATTTGAGATCCAGCGGAGAAGACACTTAGCAGGGCGCGGAGGAGGCGAGGGGGAGACGTGAAGCGATTGGCTCGGCGAAGTGCACGCGGGGGTTGGAATCGACAGACTGGCGAAACGAGTTGATGTTGAACTGTGCCGCCCCAGAAAGCTGCTGTTGTTGCTGGCTCAGGGGAACGGACAAAGCTGACGAGGATTTTCGCAGGGAGCGGCCAGCTGGGTTGTTCACATTCACCTGCCCGCTGGGACGCACCGCAGCCATCAGCGCGTCTCTCTCGCCCCGCACCACGCGAAGCTCCCTCTGCACGCCGTCGAGAGCCATCGCGAGTTGCTGTACCTCGTCTTGGGAGCTGGAGTTTGATGACGTGGACGTCGAATGCGAGAATGTTCCAGAAGAAATGCCGCTTGCAGGTGTTGCGGGGTTGTCAACCGCCCAGCTTGAAAGTGCCGCCTCCATTTCCTCCGCGAGCGAATCCCGTTCTTGCGCCGCTTGCTGAAGTGCGATCTTGGTCATCTCGAGTTCCTTCTCGCGTGCTGCCAATGTCTCCGCTAATTCCACGTTGCGCGACTCCGTCGCAGCTAGCCTCCGCGACAGGTCAGTGGGCGACGTCGTCAACACACGCTTCGCTGATCGCAGGACTTCGTTCTCGTGCTGTAACTTCAAGACGAGCGCCTCCGCATCGTTCAGTTGTCGCTGAAGCTCGTCGTTGTTGTGCCACGCGTGCTTCAACTCTTCCTGCAGCATCTGTTGCTCCTTCTCCGAAGCTTCAAGAAGCTTGTCCTTAGCCTTGATTTCCGCCTTCAGCGCGTCAACCAATGACTGCATCTCGTGGGCCTCCTTGACAGAGCTGGCACGCTGAATTTGTTGACCCTTGACAACTGGCGATGCAGCCGGATTACAAAGCGAGTTCAGATCCTTCAAGCCGCCCACGCCACCAACCGAGTGCGTCCTCGCGTGCGCCGGATGAACACGGCTCTTCTCGGAATCGCGGCTCGCTGCCCTCGGTAATTGCGTCTTCTGCACCACTTTCGGGCTAGCCGGAGCAAGAGCCATCGGGCCGCTGTGTGTCTGCTTCTCCATCTTAGGCCAGCCGAGATCGGCCGGAAAACCGTCCAAACTGGCTCCCACCTGAGGCTTCTGCATGCGGCCGGGCCTGTTCGAGCGAGACACTTCAGCCATTCTCACGCATTCCATCTCCTCCGGCTCGTCGACAAACTGCTCCATGATAGCAAAAAACTCCTCCATCGGGTCTCCAGCAGGGGCTTTAGGCAGCGCTTTCTTGACCACCTTTTTCTTTGGCGCACCGACCGGCTTCTTCTGAGGAGGCGCCTGCCCTGGGGTTCTAGGTGAAACGCGGCCGTTGTTAACGGGAGGCTTTCCCCGCTTCATCTCCCCCATTCCTGTCATTGAGAAAGGGGCGGAGGTACCGTTGTTCGAGTCCATGTCTCCGACCAGCAATCGCATAGCCATGCGACGACTGGCTTTTGAGTTTTCGGCGTCCGAAGGCGGGAGTGCGGAAGTAATCTTAGAGTGAAGCTCGTCGAGTTCAAAACGAGCAGCTATTAGATCAGCTTCCATTTCTATACAACTTCGAGAGGGAGAGATACGCTCGAAGGAAACAGACTTCGATCTAAGAGCACGGATTGACCGACCATACGTTGCTAGAGCTTACGAGCCACAGCAGAAACCCTAAGAGGAGGACGGGATTCAAGCCCAGGGAAGAGTCCTGTGATTGCGGAGCGGAGGGAGGAAAAATCTGGAAATCAGAGTTGGGAAGTTGTGGTAGAGAATCTCACAAGATGTTGTTTGGAGAATTGGTTCAAATTCAGACACGTTTTCATCTTCCAACTTCCACCACCCACGTCGGCACGAAGCTTTGCCCGCACTGCATGGTTGGGTACTTCCTTTGCAGCCCGCGGCAAGTTCATGAAACGAGCCGGCCATCCCAGAGGCGCCACGAGGCAGAGACTGCAAATCAACCAACCAGAAATTCCGGAATCACACGGCTTCGTGGTGACTATGGTGGTGGATCTACACCACATTGGCTGGACCTACAGCTTCCTCACCGTCAAATGGTGAGTGGAACGAAATGGTCGTTGTGGCTGTTCTCCGATGCCAGCTCAGGTGCATTGCTGCCACAACTGTACATTTCCGGCGATGTTTTTGCGGTCGAGAAAATAAGTTTCAGGATCTGCCCGTCCTGGTGTGTACACCAGTTTTACTTATGTTCTCGGCTCACTGAATTAGCAATGCAGATTTGAATACGGACAAGTAGAGCTACAATATTGAACAGTGAAAATTGGGAGGGGCAGAGACTGTACGTGTCGGGACATGGTGCACACGATGCTCGTTTGACTAACCCAAGGTGGCCTTGTGATGGGGGCTTTTAAGTGATTCTCGTTATTTCGCAAATTTCGTCGACGTCGCACCTAGCAAAAAGGGGCTTATAAAAACATTGTAACTCCCCGTTGACAGTTTGACTTCAGTCTCTTCTGTTTGACTTCGGTTTCTGTGCTTCGTATTGGTTCATAACCACTGCAACTTGCTCGAGGGGCTTGTAATGTGGATGTAACTGGCTGGGAAAAAAAGCACGGGTGCAGGCTTTCCATCTCGGATAGGAAACATTCGCGCGCAGGGGTTGAGCATCGTGTGTAGTGTATGCACGAATTGTATGCGCTGGTAATTTACTTGGCTCTTTGCTGCAGTTGCAGGGTTCGAGACTGAAAACGACAATTGATGATAACCAAGACAAATGCGCTTCATCCGTATTGGCTGAAAACCAGTTGACAGCAATGTTTGCTGCTCCACACATCGAATCATGCAGCTGGTGCAGCAGCATCTGTCGAAAGAATCTGCTCTTTGTGGCGAGTTTCAGCACTTGAAGGGTCAGCCAGTCCTCTGTTTGGCTGTGAAAAATATGCCAACAGCTGATTAGTGGAAAACAAGATGGCGGTGCCGCGTAAAGTCGTGAAGTTAGGGGTCTGTCCTCTAAAATAATTTCAACCGCCAATCCGTTAAACAGCTTCATGTACTTAGCAGCTTGTTTCTTATAATATAAAGCCACATTAATCCGCCGGAAGGTTCATATAGCTGAGCATCAGCATACTCAAATAACCACACGTTCCACGTCCCCCCCCCCCCCCCCCCCCCCCTACCCCCCCCCCCCCCCTTTTTCCCTCCCCCCCGCCCCCCCACCTCTATTCTGATTAATGCATGTATTAGCACAACCCAACCTTGCACTTACCCAGCCATACCTCATATCCCCAACATCTTCATGCGGTAATTGACCGGCACTGTGACCCTACACAGCAGTTTTGTCCCCATCATATATGTTACAATCACAAGTGGGACTTAGCGAAGGATCCTTCTCAGGGTTGATCGCAGGGTAGTGTCGCAGCGGAAGAGTTGACCTCAGGTCAGAGTAAGTGTAAATGACTGAGATGATAAAAAACATGCATACATCGAGTTTATATATAGAATGCGGGGAATACGAAACGACATAGACTAGCCATGTACTCTAAGGGTTACTGTCAGAATGTTATGCTCTAGCCTGTAGTGGGGTGCTCTATAGCGAGTACAACCCTTCTAGGGTTTGCTATTTGTATCCTCATTCCTGCTAGTGAACCCCCTCTTTGCCTAAACTGTTTCTTGCCTAGCTAGGGCTTTCCTAGCTATGGCGCCTTCTTCTACTGCTTATCTTCACATGGTATTAGAGCGATATGCTCCTGGCCTGTGGGCCCCACCTCACTGCTTCCGCTGCTACTGCTACTCTCTGTGTTGCACGCCCCGTGGCGTGCAACGGATTTTTCATCCCGCCACGCGCTCGGAGCGTGCGGCGGTTTTCTGCCCGCCGTGCGCCCCGAGGCGCGCGGCGGTTTTCTGCCCGCCGTGCGCCCCGAGGCGCGCGGCGGTTCTCTGCCCGCCGTGCGCCCCGAGGCGCGCGGCGGGTTTCTGCCCCGTCACGCAGCGCGTCGCTCCCGGGAGGCACTGCGACGGGCGACGGGGACCCGCGCGTCGCCCCCCCGTCACCCGTCGTGGCCTGTGCGCGGCCCGTACAGCCTGCGCGCGGCCCGTACGAGCTGCGCCAGGCCCGCGCGCGGCCAGTACGGGCTGCGCCAGGCCCGCGCGCGGCCCGTACGGGCTGCGCCAGGTCCGCGCGCGGCTCGGGCCGCCTGCGCGCGGTTCGGGCGGCTGTGCCAGGCCCGTGGGCGGCCCGTTCTTCGCTGCCCCTGCGCTGCCCGCTGTCCCCCGTGCTTCTGATGGCGCCCCACCCCTGCTACTGCCCGTTCTCCTGAATTAGGGTTTGGGGGTGGGGGGCATGGGGGTGCAGCTTCTGTGTGCCGTCCCCTGCTCCTCCTCCTCCTCCGTCTCCCAGTGCTGCAGCTGCCGCTGAGGGGGGTGGACCTGTTGGAGCCGTCGGAGTGGTACTAAGGGGGGTGAAGGGGGAGTGGAGCTAGGGGTGAAGCAGGGGGTGTGTGTCAGGGGGGGTGGGACTGTTTGGGGAGGTTGAACGAAGGTTGCCGTCGTGTCGCCAGCAGCACCTGTAGTCCGGGGAGTTGCTCCGGTAGCCCAGTCGCAGCCGCCTGTGCCAGTCGCCCGTGGGTCCGTTGCTCGTCTGCCGCTACTTTTAGCCGCGGGGCCAGTTACTCCAGTAGTCCGGAGCGCTGTTCCGGTAGCCGCTGTGCCAGTGTGCCTCCTGTTGCCCGTGTGTCTGCAGCTTCAGTCGTCGCCTCCTATCTCCTCTCCTCTTACAGTCTCACCTCCTCCTCCTCACTTGCCCTCTGCGATAGCCTCTAGCTTTGCTCATAATTGTGAACTTTAAACTATTGCTTCTTGTAATTGTGCTCAGAATGTGTGGTGACATTGTGATCCACCCTGAGCTTGTTCTGCTTTGCTTGCTCTGCTGATTACACCCCACTTTGGCTATGGGGGTGTGTCAGAATGTTATGCTCTAGCCTGTAGTGGGGTGCTCTATAGCGAGTACAACCCTTCTAGGGTTTGCTATTTGTATCCTCATTCCTGCTAGTGAACCCCCTCTTTGCCTAAACTGTTTCTTGCCTAGCTAGGGCTTTCCTAGCTATGGCGCCTTCTTCTACTGCTTATCTTCACAGGTACATGCGGAGAAAAGGCGATTGTGGGAGAGCCTAGGCGCAGAGTTGCAAAGCGGATGCTTGTAAACCGAATACGGACTTGTTGGAAACCGAATACTGATGCCAAACTTTGTATGCAGTAACAAGAAGAACGAAATTGATTAATTGATTATGTTGATAGATTATAACAGAAACAACATGAACCTTATAGAGAAACATAGTGACGTGTGCGAGAATGTTCTACGAGAACGTTGTCCATGAAGAACGTTGTTCAAGGAGAACGTGCAACCACCTACTATAGTATGTGGTTCCAGGTTGGGACCGCCAGGTGAAAATACCATCAGGTGAAAACACCATCAGATGTATTTCTACCTGCCCAGGAGTAGTTGCGCAGGTTCTTGCAACACTGACAGTTGCACATACGCGTTTGTGCAATGTCGTCACTTCCCTGGTCCAATGTCGAAATGTGCATACCGAAGCGCACAGATTGGAGTGTACTTGGCGAATACCGCAATACAGGTAAAACCGGTATGCGGTATGCGAAGTCTCACTACTCCGCATAGGGCTGCTACACGCGAAACCAGGCGCGTGCAGGGCTTAGCCTCAACAGTACATTCCTTTATTACAGCGAAGTCAAACCGTGCGGCGCGGGAACCCGTTTCAAACCTGTTCCCGCTCTTTTCACTTCAAATGTTTCTGCCTGCATCGGTCTTGACCAGACGGTTGCTGGTGTCGCTTCGACTCTTCTGACTCCTCGTCTTCGTACTCGGTAGAGTCGGCTCCTGCAGCATACAGGAATGCCTTACTCATTTTTCATATCGTAACAATATACACTCAGCATGATGCTAACGATCAAGGGATGTGTTGGAGCAGCATATTTGTTAGCATCAAGAAGCAGCACAATCTGCACAGTAGTGATATTTAGGATAGGATGCCAGCGCCTCATCTGTACTCTACAAGAACATGTACATTTTGATTCGTTACCTACGAACCACAACTTGTAATGCAAACGGGCACAAAGCCCTATGCATTGCCCTCCAATCCATCCGAGAAACAACCCAGGCGATTACAAGAGGCACACAGTGTCAAATGTTGATATCTTCTATATATTGTTAGATAGGCTACAGTGAGTTGCCCTCTAAAGGGTACAACATTTTAGGTCGACATTTGTATCTCCTTGTTCCTCCTTACTCAACAATTCTCTCGACACTTGTCTCCTAGCCTATCTTAAGATGGTATTAGAGCAGGTAGTTTTTCACCCTCCCACGCTTCCGCTCCCTCCCTTAGCTGGTCCCGAGGCGCCCGTCCCTTAGGCCCCGTTTCGTCACGGGTAGGACGGCCCCCGCGGGCCTCGTTTTCGTCGCGTTTAAAGGCCCCCGAGGGCCTAGTTTTTCGTCGCGTTTAAAGGGCCCCGCTGGCCCCTCGTTTCGTCGCGCTCCAGAAGGGACCCCCCCCCCCCCCGCGGGCCCGCGTAGTCGTGCTTAGCCCGCAACAGCCGCGCGTGCAAGCAGCAGGGACACACGGACCAGCAGCAGCAGCGCACGCGTTAGCCAGCGACAGCCGTGCACGCCACTGCAGCACGCGCATTGCAGCAGCAGCGCTCGCATTGCAGCAGCAGCGCGTGCATTGCGGCAGCAGCGCGTGCATTGTTGCAGCAGCACGGCTAGGCAGCAGCGCGTGCTACTGCAGCAGCACGGCTAGGCAGCAGCTAGCCGCCAGCAGCTATCCGCCAGCAGAAGCTAGCCGCCAGCAGCAGCTAGCCGCCAGCAGCAACTAGCCGCCAGCAGCTCGCCGCCAGCAGAAGCTAGCCGCCAGCAGCAGCTAGCCGCCAGCAGCTAGCCGCCAGCTAGCCCCTTCCAACCGCTCACAGCCCGTTCCAACCGCTCACAGCCACTTCCAACCGCTCACAGCCCCTTCCAACCGCTCACAGCCCCTCATCACGCTCGCACACCACCCAGGACCACCCGACCTCCGTTGGTTTGACACGCGTCACTCATACTCACGCTGTTTCGCACCGTCGCGGCTGGAGGCCGCTCCACTTAGCTGTTTAGGCTAGTCCTGACGTTCGTTGTTAGCTAGGTCTCTCCTCGCTCCGCCAGCCCCTCGAACGACTCTCTGGCTCCTCGATCGGCTCGTCAGCCGTGCCTCCTCCAGCCGTGTGCTCCTAGCTCAGCTACCTCCCAGCTCCGTTCGTTACTAGACTGGCGTTCCTTGCTCAGTTTTCCTCCGTGCTCCGGCAGTACCTCGCCTAGTCCCACCTGGCGCTCCTCGCTCCTAGCTTCGTTTGCTCCGTGCTCCAGCTGCTCCTAGCCTAGCGTCCAATATGGACTCCTCCCGCCGCCTTCGTTTCGATGCAGAGGGGCGCCTGATAGAGTTCGGCACCTGGCTCCGCCAAACTCAGCGCTATCTCACCAGTCAGCGCCACCCTGTACGCCCACGCGTCCGGCGCCCTCCAGGCACCACCGCGTCCCGAGCCCCTCCCTGCCGTGCCCCCCCCGACTCCGGAGGCGCAGGCGGACTACGCTCGTCTCGTCTTGGCGCGGGACGTTTGGGACTCCCGTGACGCTGCGGCTGCACTCGCGCTGATCGAGCTCCTTCCACCGAGTGAGGCCTCTCACTTCGACCTGGTAGAGACTGCGAAGGAGGTGTATGATGCCATTTCTGCACGCTATTCCACCCCTTCCTCTGCCTCCCTCAGCCGCATCCTCATGCCGTTCGTGTTTCCCGACCTCGGCTCGTTTGCGACTGTCGCTGACCTAGCCACACACTTGCGCTCCCTTGTCGCTAGCTACCGAGCAGCTTGCACTGAGGCTCAGCTTCTTGTTGCCCCTCCTCCTATCTGGCTCACCGTCCACTGGGTAGTCACTCGTCTCCCTGACCGCCTCTCCACTGCCCATGACGCACTTCTCCAGCAGCACCCCACTGAGCTTACGATTGATCTTCTCGAGACCACTCTCGGGAAGATCGAGAGTAACCTCCTCTCTGTTGCCTCAGCCACTGACACAGTTGCCCCTCATCTGTTTGAGGGGTGTGCTGTCCCCCAGCTTCCTACCTTCACTACTACTCGTGCCTCTGCTGCTGTGTCGGTCTCTGAGGACACTGCAGCTGTTTCTGCCATTGACAGGCAGAAACGGGGCAAGGGAGGCAAGAAAGGGGGGAAGGGGGGTGGCGGCGGTGGAGGAGGTGGCGGTGGTGGAGGCGGCCCTGGGGGCGGCAGTGGTGGCGGTGGCGGTGGTGCCCCAGGCGGAGGGAGCTCTGGAGGAGGTGCTGACCCGCCTGCTGGAGGAGGTTCGACCAGCGGTGGTGCGGGGCCCCAGCAGCAGCAGCCACAGCAGAGACAGCAGCTGCAGCAGGGACAGCAGCAGTGGCAGGCACCACAACAGTTTCAGTCGTGGGGACCCCCACTGCAGTGGGGTCCGCAGCAGCACTGGGGCCCTTCGCCACAGTGGGGACCTGGAGGACCCGGGAGCACTGGCCGCAGCAACAGCACTACCAGCTGGGCCCCTTGCCCCCCGCGGCGCGACATTGGCCCCTGCGACCACTGGTGCGTCACCGGACCGGGCAGTCCCTGTGTCTGCGGCCGCGACGACCACTCTGCAGCGCGGTGCTTCCGCCGCCTCGACGACCTCTACCGTGCACGCTGGGGTCCTGAGGCGACCACCCCGCGCTGGGCTCGCCTGCTAGCCCGTAAGATCCCTGTATTTGAACTGTCTATGGACGATGCTCGTTAGTATGCTTTGTATGCTGTTGTTGACTATAGTGCTGATGGATTTGTGTGCTCGCGTGTTCGTAGTCTAGGATGCTTGCCTCCTGTTAGTGTAGACCTGTGCCTCTCTAGTTTAGGTGCTTGTGTGTCTGCTCTAGGTGCTTGTGTAGCCTCCGGACCTGACACGCCTCCGGCTGAGGCGTCTCTGTCGTTCACGCTGGACTCTGGCGCGTCGCAGTGTTTCTTCCGCGACCACACGACCCTCACACCACTCCTTGCGCCAATTCCGGTAGCTCTGGCTGATCCTTCTTCAGGACCAGCCGTTGCGCGCAGCTCCACCACCCTCCCGTGCCCTGTGGTCCCCTCTGGTGTCCTGCGCGGCCTCCACATCCCCTCGTTCACTCGGAACTTGGTGGGTGTTGGATACCTCCAGGACAGGGGGATCACCGTTACCTTTGTGGGGGTTGGGAGGACTTCGGTCTGTACCAACGCTGCTACATGTGCTGTTCTCGCCACGTTCACCAGGGAGTCCCGCTCTGGTCTCTACGTTCTCCACACCGAGCGCTCCCCGGTTACTTCCTCCGCTCAGGTCGCTACGTCCCCTCAGGTCCCAGTGTCTAGTCCGGTTGCTGTGTCTGGTCAGGTAGTGGTGTCTGGTCAGGTTGCTGCGTCGTGCTCCTGTCGGTCCCTCGCCCACCCGACCGTCTTGTGGCACCACCGCCTTGGCCACCTGTCGCTCCCCCGCCTGCGCAGCATGGCCAGTCACAGTCTTGTCTCAGGTCTCCCACGCGTCTTTCCGTCGCTCCCTCCCTCGCTTGCCCCACCCTGAACTCCTTGCGTCGCCGGCCGCCTGCGCGCCACTCCACACTCCTCCTCCCTTCGTCCGGCCACTGCTCCCTTCCAGACTCTCCACCTGGACGTCTGGGGCCCTGCCCCTACGCTGGGACCTGAGAGGGAGCGCTACTTTCTAGTGGTCGTTGACGACTACTCCAGGTACACCACGGTGTTTCCTCTCGCGAAGAAGTCTGAGGTGACTTCTACGCTGATACGGTGGCTTCTGGCCACTGAGGGCACTCGTGGTTGTCGTGTCCGTTGTCTCCACTCCGACCGTGGGGGTGAGTTTCGCTCCGGCGTCCTTGCCGGGTTCTGCGGCGAGCAGGGCATCAGACAGTCCTGGACGCTGCCGGAGTCCCCACAGCAGAATGGGGTTGCTGAGCGCCGCATTGGCTTGGTCATGGACATCGCCCGCACGTCCATGATCCATGCCCGTGCGCCCCATTTTCTGTGGCCCTACGCGCTGCGCTACGCCGCGCACCAGCTGAACCTCCAGCCGCGTGTCTCGCGGCCAGAGGTTTCACCGACCAGTCTTTGGACTGGGTCCCCTGGTGTTGGGTCGGCCTTTCACGTCTGGGGCTGCCTTGCGCTTGTCCGCGACACCTCTGCGGACAAGCTCTCGGCTCGCGCCATCCCCTGTATCTTCCTTGGTCTTCCGGTGGGCTCTCCCGACTACTCCTTTTACCACCCGCCCCTCCACCAGTTTATAGACTCTCGTGACGTCCGGTTTGACGAGTCAGTGTCCTACTACACCCGGTACCCATGTCGAGGTCTCCCTGTTCCCCCTCCCCCCCTCTTCCTCGCACCCTCTCCTCCCCCTGCTCCCGCTCCTCCGGTACCCCCGCCCCCCCTGGTCCTGCCCCGTCAGGAGTGTCTCACGCTACCCCTCTACCCTCGGTCGCGCGTCAGGTAGCGTCTCCCTCCCCGCAGTCCTCCTCACAGTCCCTTCAGCAGCCTTCGGCACTTCCACGACAGGTTACTGTGGACTCGGTTGGTGTTGGAGCTGGAGGTGCAGCCACTGGCGGTACTCGGTCTGGGGGTGCTCGTTCGAGGGGTGCTGGAGCTGGAGGTGCTGGCGCAGGTGGCGCTAGCTCTGGGGGTGCTGGAGCTGGAGGTTCTGGCACTGGAGGTGCTAGTTCTGGGGGTACTGGAGCTGGAGGTGCTGGCACTGGAGGTGCTGTTTCTGGGGGTGTTGGTGCTGGAGGTACTGGCACTGGAGGTGCTAGTTCTAGGGGTGCTGGAGCTGGAGGTGCTGGTACTGAGGAGACGGGAGCTGGAGGCTCGCCTACTGCGTCGCCCAGTGCGCGTCCCCACCGCCACGACACCCGTTTCCAGGCCCTTCGCCAGCTTGAGCGCGAGGAGAAGGAGCGGGTGGAGCAGGAGAGGCAGGAGCTGCAGCGGTTGGACCAGCAGCAGCAGCAGCAGCAGCAGCAGCAGCAGCAGCAGCAGCAGCAGCAGCAGCAGCAGCAGCAGCAGCAGCAGCAGCAGCAGCAACAGCAGCAGCAGCAGCAGCAGCAGCAGCAGCAGCAGCAGCAGCAGCAGCAGCAGCAGCAGACGCCGCAGCCGCCACCTTTGCAGCAGCTATTCCCTCCAGTGAGTGGCCTTCGGGCCCTTGGTCTTCCTTCCTCTCCTCCTGTTCACTCCCAGTCACCTACTGCGTACGGTCCTACGTTTCCTCCTCCGGACTCGACTCCGGCTGTTTTCTCTCCTCCTCAGTCACGGTCGTCTCCTCCTGTTGTCCCGCATGACTGGACTAGTCGTTGTCCTCCGCGTGCTCGGCCCTCGTCTCCTCTTGCCGACCTCCGCACCGTCTTGTTTCGTTCTCTTCCTCGTCGTTCTCCGCCTGTGTCTGTTCTCCCCTCACCTCCTGAGTCGTCTCTCACCGTTTCCTCTCACCCTATCACTGACTACTACTGTGTTGCTCGCCCTGTTGTCTCTCGTGTTCTCGCCTCTCTTGCCACCGACCCTCGTGCCTCTCCGTCGTCTGTCTCGGCTCTTACTGCCGCTGTCGCTGACTTTGCTTCCACCCGCCGTCTTGACTACGCCACGCGTGTGGTGGCTGCTCCACCTCCCCGTCCTCTGTCCGTCGGGGGTGAGTCTGCCCTTGGATGTGACGTCCTAGAGGACAGGCAATTTGAGCTGGAGTTCTTAGCAGCCGCTTCCCCCTCTCTCTGCGCCATGCTGCTTTCCCTTGAGGGAGACCCCGACGCCCTTGACATACCGACACCTCGCACGTATCGTGAGGCAGTGTCAGGGGAGTGGGCCTCTTAGTGGAAAGCGGCAATGGATGCAGAGCTAGCGTCTTGGAGATCCACAGGCACGTACGCCGACGCAGTTCCCCCTCCCAGGGCGAACGTTGTCGATGGCATGTGGCTCTTCAAGGTGAAGCGGCCGCATGGTTCACCGCCTGTATTCAAAGCGCGCTACGTGGCTAGGGGTTTCAGTCAGCGTGAGGGAATTGACTTCTTCCGGACCTTCGTCCCGACCCCGAAGATGACTACTCTTCGGGTGTTACTGCACGTAGCAGCACAGCGAGACTACGAGATGCACTCCCTTGACTTCTCCACTGCGTTTCTCCAGGGCCGTCTACACGAGGAGATCTGGCTGCGCCGTCCTCCTGGCTTCACTGACACCTTCCCACCTGAGACCCAGTGGAGCCTGAGTGGAACGACACTCTTTGCTCCACGCTTCGTGACCTTGGGTTTCGTCCTTCCTCTGCCGACCCGTCGCTGTTTGTTCGCACTGGTTCCACTCCTTTCTTTATACTAGTGTACGTCGACGACTTGGTCTTTGCTACAGCAGACAGGGCAGCTCTGACTGAGGTGAAATCCGAACTGCAGAAGAGACACAAGTGCACTGACCTCGGTGAAGTGCAGCGCTACCTTGGCCTGCAGATCACCAGGGACAGAGCCGCTCGCACCATCACACTGACTCAGTCACACATGGTGCAGCAGGTCCTTCGGCGGTTCGGGTTTCAGTTCTCCACCACACAGCCCACTCCTCTTGCCGTTGACCACCGACTCACTGGCCCTTTTCCTGACGAGCCCTTTGAGTCTAGTGGCCCCTACGCAGAGCTTGTGGGCTGCCTCATGTACCTGATGACTTGTACTCGGCCGGACCTTGCCTTTCCCCTTAGCGTCCTCTCTCACTTTGTTGCGACTGGGAGACACCGTCCTGTTCACTGGACAGCTGCTGTGAGGGTGGCGAAGTACCTGGCGACTACATCAGGCATGGGGCTTGTGCTTGGAGGGACACAGCCAGTTGTGTTGACCGGTCACTGCGACTCTTCCTACGCTGATGACGTGGAGACTCAGCGCTCGACTCAGGGTTACTGCTTCAGTCTGGGTGCTGGTGCTGTGTCGTGGAGGTCTACACGGTCGTCGTCTGTGGCTTCGTCCAGTGCAGAGGCAAAGATATACGCTGGTGCCATGGCGGCGCAGGAGCTTCGCTGGTTGACCTTCTTGCTCGCCGACCTTGGTGAGCGGCCTCGCTCTGCACCGACCTTGTACGCTGGCAACAAGGCCATGATCCTCCTGTGTCGAGAGCCTCGACTGGAGAGCAGAGTGAAGCTTATTGACGTGAGGTACTTCCTCCTGCGAGAGTTGCAGCGACGCGGCCAGGGACGCTTGGACTTTGTGGCCTCACAGGCCAACACTGCCGACGTCTTCACCAAGGCCTTGGCGCCTGGTGACCACCACAGGTTCTGTGTGCAGTTGGGGCTTGTTGAGGTAGGCCCTCGGTTGTTGTAGACTTGCTGTTTGCTCTACTTGTTGTGCTTCTATATATACTAGTAAACTCTTGAACTGGCATTGTGGCCACTTGCTTGTGCTCGGAGTGTGTGGTGACTCTGAGCGCCACCCTGAGCTTTGTTTTTTATGCTTGTTCTTGACTGGTCTTGTGACTCTTTGTTTCCCTTGGTTGTTTTGATGCCCCTCACTTAGCCTATGGGGGTGTGTCAAATGTTTACATCTTCTATATATTGTTAGATAGGCTACAATGAGTTGCCCTATAAAGGGTACAACATTTTAGGTCGACATTTGTATCTCCTTGTTCCTCCTTACTCAACAATTCTCTCGACACTTATCTCCTAGCCTATCTTAAGACACAGAGCAGAACACAAGACAGGACAAACCTGCAGCAGCTCCTACTTAATCGTGGATCAATAACATCCACCCATGGATCAACGGGCGAGTCCGATTTGATTCACAGAGCCCCCGCCTGCTGGTCTCGCACCTCATGTACCAGAAACCTCTGCACCCCTCAATTTTGAAGTGGACTCAATAGTCACCTAGAAGCACCGCACCCCTCACCACCAGTCATGCTTTCCCAGAGCTGACATCGCGAGCTACGGTAGATACACAAACGTGGATGTTGTGAGCATGAGGTCTTCGTTCCGAGCCAACTGCTGCCTTGACAATCCTGCTGGCCCTAACGCCTCACCGCTGCTCCCGTTTTTGCTGAGTTGATATCGCGAGCCAGAGACGCGTTGATGTCTTTCAGATCTGCAAACATGGATGTTGTGAGCATGGGGTCCTCGTTCCGAGCCAACTGCTGCCTTGTCAATCCTGCCGGTCCCAACGCCTGCTGCTGCTGCTGTTGCTGCTGTGGATGCTGCTGCTGCTGAAAGCCATGCTGCATCCCCCCACTGCTACCGCCAAGGCTAGTCACCGAACCAGCTGCAGGAGGCTTGGTAGGGGAGAGGGATGGATACGAATTTCCCATACCCATCCCCATCCCTGCTCCCATGCCCACCCCTGCTCCCATGCCCATCCCTGCGCCCATGCCCATTCCCGTACCCGCCCCCATTGACCCGACAGAAGGCATGGGCCGGTTGGAAACAGCAGGAGACGGCAGAGCAAGAGGGGAGAAGTTCTGGTTAGGGCCAAGGGGAGGGTAGGAGGGTGTAGCGTTTGGGAAAGGAGGAGGGGGAGTGTCTCCACTAACTCCGCCCATTCCCGGCCCCATCATATACTGCTGCTGCTGCTGTTGCTGGTACTGCTGATTCTGTGGGTACATCTGATTCTGCTGCTGCTGCCAGTGTGGTTGCTGGTAATGCTGGTAACCCTGTTGCTGTTGCTGGCCTGGCATTTGGGGATAGACTGGAGGCGGGTATTGCTGCTGGTGCGGCTGCTGCTGCTGGTGTTGGTGCTGTTGCTGCTGCTGCTGTGTAAGTTGCTGCTGCCAGGATTGCTGGTTCGGGTCATACTGGGGTGGGTACATCTGACCAGGCTGGGCCGACTGGTATCTAGGAGCAGCAGAGGGAGGGTGAGAAGCAGAAGCAGGAAACCCAGACGCACCTACACCAGTCAAACCTCCCCCACCAGCACCTAAACCAGCAGCACCGGAGCCTGAACCACCAAAGGGGTCAGTGGGTGAGTGAGAAGGAAGGGAATTGGGGAGGCGGGGAGGGGCAGACCCAGGAGCAGAGCCAAACCCAGAGCCTAGCGCAGCAGCAGGAGTGGAGGAAGTCGAAGGGGGCTGTGACTGTAACGTGGTGTGAGCGTAAGGAGACGGATAAGTCTGGGGAGAAGGGAGGTGTGTGGGTTGGGGGCCGTAGGGGGAAGGGGCGGGGGAGGGGGCGGTAGAGGAGTGGTCTGGGTGTGGCAGGGCTTGGAAGGAAGGCTCGGATTCGAATGGGGAAGGCTCGGTGGTGAAAGAGGGAGGGACCACTCCAAAGGGGTTTGGTGCGGTGCCGGAAGAAACAGTGGGAGCAGCAGAATCCGAAGCATCGCTCGCAGCACTAGCAGCAGCGGCAGCACCAGCAGCAGGACTAGAGCCAAAGTCTAATGCACGAGCCGATGTTGGTGGTGGTGCTGACTCTGCTCCTGCAAAAACGGATCCTCCTCCCCCTTGTCCTTCTCCTCCCGCTGTGGCTGCTTGCACGCCTGGCGCAAACGGATTGGACGGTGACAGCTCAGCAAGAAGCATATCAGTGGCTGAGCGATAAACAGGAGCAGCAGGAGCAGCAGGAGCGGCAGCAGCAGCCGAACCTGCACCCCAGGCTTGGGCAGGGAAGGGGGACACGTCCCGGGACGCAGGTTCGGAATGTGGGTGGGGGTGTGCGTTGGGTGAGGCCTGGCGAGGGCCAAGTGGGACATGTGGGCGGTCATGGCTGGTAGATCAGGGGCTGAGCCGTATGGTGGGTGCGAATAAGGGGGTGCTGCTCCTGCCGGTGCTGCTGCCACTGCTGCACCTGCCCCTGTCGCTCCTGCTCCTCCTCCTCCTCCTGCTGCTGCTGCTGCTGCTGCTGCTGCTGCTGCTGCTGCTGCTGCTGCTGCTGCTGCTGCTGCTGCTGCTGCTGCTGCTGCTGCTGCTGCTGCTTCTGCTCCCGATGATTCTCCTGCTGCCGCTGTGTCAGCACTAGAAGCACCGCCAGCAGCACCAGACGCAGCAGAAGAAGAAGCAGGGGCAGCGGGGGCATGAGGCGCGGAGGAGCGTTTCCAGTCAGGGGGAAGGGGGAGGAGGGGGGAGGCGGGGGGAGCGCTGGGGGAGAAGATGGGGGAAGCTGAGGGGCGGATGGAGAAGGTAGATGGCGCACTGTATGGGGGGGGGGAGGGGGAAAGGGGGACGGGAAGAGGGTGGAAAAGCAGGGGGGGAGGAAAGGGAGGTGTTGTGGATGAGGATGGGGAAGGAAGATGGCGGACTGTGGTGGCGGAAAGGGGCAAGGTTGGGGGGGGAGGAAAGGCGGGGAGGAATGGGGGGCAGGAGTTGTGAATGAGGGGAGGGAAGGAGCAACGAGTATGAGGGGGTGGGGGAAACGGGGGCGGATGGAGAAGGAAGAATGGGGAGGAGATGGTGCATTGTAGACGGGGGAAGGAGGGGCCGGGAAGGGGGGCGCAAAATTCGGTTGGGAATAGAGGCAAACAAGAAACGAGTAGAGTGAGGGGGGGTTGGGAAAGGAGGTCCAGGAGAAAGAGGCGAAAAAAAAAAAAAAAAAAACAAAAACAAATACAAACAAAGAAACACCCTCGCTCGCCTGTCTATGGAGCTGAATGCTGGGTCTTTGAGTCGACTAGAAAATATTAAGCTTGAGAAAAGCGAAGAAACAAACAAAAGGAGGAAGAGGAGAGGGAAAAAGAGGACCCACTTGCGCCTGTCGAGCTGAACGGTGGGCTCGCTGTCAGTGTCCCTCTCCCCATCGTACTGCGCCCACTGCACCGCTCCTGCTGGTGCCCCTGATGCAGCCGAGACAGCATGCATAGGGGAGAGAAAAGCAAAAGGAGACTCACCCGTGTCTGTCGAGCTGAATGCTTGGCTCGCTGTCAGTGTCGCCCTCCCCATCGTACTGCGCCCACTGCACTCCCCCTGCTGCTGCTGCCCCTGCTGCTGCGGCCGAGCCGGGAGCAGACGCACCACCAGCAGCACTAGCAGCGGCAGGAGCGGCTTTCTGTAGCTGGGTGTGGCGCTTCATGACGGCCTGCACCTCGTCGTTGAGAGCAAGGGCTGAGTGCAACAGATGCTCGTCACTGGGGAGAGGGGAGATAGGCATGCACAGGACAGAAGGGCGACAGCCGATACTGTGAGGAAATGGGCACGAGCCTGGGACATTGCTTCATGACGGCCTACACCTCGTCGTTGAGAGCCAGGGCGGAGCGCAGCAGGTGCTCGTCACTGGGGAGAGGGGGAAACGGGCAGGCATGCACAGGACAGGACAGGGGAAGGCGGTGGGATTTGCGAGTGCATGGGCATGGGCACCGCTTCATGACTGCGTACACCTCGTCGTTGAGTGCAAAGGCGGAGCGCAGCAGGTGCTCATCACTGGGGGATAGGGAGGGACGGATAGGCACACAGAGAAGAGCAGGTTGGATGTAGTGTAAGCATGGGCGGGAAAAGGTGCATGGCAATGGGCTCCGAACAGGTGCCGGTGCTGATCATAACGGAGAGTCATTGACTAAAGAGCTCTCTCTCACCTGGTGGAGTTGACAGTTGCTGCTAGACGCCCCTCCAACCCCCGGCACTCCCCCACCAGCTGCTGCACCAACTCGACTCCCAACACAGTGGCAGGTAGGGCCTTCATCCAGAAATTACTTCATTCGCCTTTACACATCACTGGTGAAAGTGAGTGACTCACCTCGTGGAGTTGATCGTGGCTGCAAGGCGCCCCTCTAGTCCCCGGCACTCCCCCACCAGCTGCTGCACCAACTCGTCCCCCAACACAGAGGCAGGCGTGCCCTTCATATAGAAACCACTTCGTTCGCCTTCACACGTCACTGGCGAAAGAGGCTCACGCACCTCGTAGAGTTGATGGTGGCTGCAAGGCGTCCTTCTAATCCACGGCACTCCCCCACCAGCTGCTGCACCAACTCGTCTCCCAACACAGACGCAGGGTTGTCCTTGGGGGCGGCTAAGAGGAGCTCAGATAGCACCTCCTCCGAGTTCAACCCCGTGGTGATGTCTGCCAGGCTGGAACCGGGGAAGGAAATAAGGATGAGTATGTGGGTAAACGAGGGTGCAGAGGCAGGGTTGTCTTTGGGCGCGGCTGACAGCAGGTCAGATAACACCTCCACCGAATTCAACCCCGTGGTGATGTCTGCCAGACTGGAGGGGACAGGCGGGGGAATGAGGATGACGGCGTGGGTAAGCGAGGGGGCAAAGAAAGGGTTGTCCTTGGGGTGTGGATGAGAGCAGGTCAGATAGCACCTCCACCGAATTCAACCCCGTGGTGATGTCTGCTAGACTGGTGAGGGAATGAGGACGAGGGCGTGGTTGAGCGAGGGGGCAAAGAAAGGGCTGTCCTTGGGTGAGTGCGGCTGAGAGCAGGTCAGAGATAACACCTCCACCGAATTCAACCCGGTTGTGATGTCTGCTAGACTGGTGATGGGAGGCGGGAACAAGGATGAGCGCATGGATAAGAGAGGGGGCAGAGGCAGGGTGGGTCTAAGAGCAGGTCAGATAGCACCTCCACCGAATTGAGCCCCGTGGTGATGTCCGCTAGACTGGAGGGCGCGGCACACAGGCCGGCAGGGATGAGGGGGTACGGGTAAGCAAGGGGCACAGAGGCAGGGTTGTCCTTAGGTGCGGCTGAGAGCAGGTCAGATAGCACCTCCACCGAGTTCAACCCCATGGTTATATCTGCTAGACTGTTGATAAGGGTAAGATATGAGGGTGAGGGCGTGGGTAAGAGAGGGCACGGAGGCACGGCTGTGGTTGGGTGTGTGTGGGTGTGAGAGCAGGTCATTTAGGTGCGGCTGAGAGCAGGTCATTTAGGTGCGGCTGAGAGCAGGTCATTTAGGTGCGGCTGAGAGCAGGTCATTTAGCACCTCCACCGAACTCCCAACCCCTTCCCTCCCTCCTTCCCTCCCTCCCTTCCTCCCTCCCCACCCACTCTCCCCTCTTCCCACTCTATTCCCACTCCCCATTTCTCTCACCTCATAGGCTTGTCACTCGCCCCGTCCTGTGACCCACTCCCGCTCTGCTGCTGCTGTGCCTGTGGCTGCTGTGGGTGCTGCTGCTGCTGGTACTGCAAGGGAGGGGGCTGTGGCTGGGGCGGCAACGACCTGGGTCCCGCAAGAGGAGACCGCGCACCATCATAACCAGCTCCGCTATAAGCTGCCCCGTTATAAGCAGCTCCGTTATAAGCAGCACGAGGGTTACCAGGACTGTACCCCCCAACGGGGCTGCCGTAGGTGGGCGAGTTGTAAAGCTGAGGAGGGGTGGAGTGGGCGGCATGGGGATGCAGGTGCTGGGGGAGGCCGCCAGGTGGCACGCCGTGACTGGCTGCTGCACGCTCGGGAGCTGGCATGGGGATGGAGGGGGAGTGGTGGGCGGGGCCGGCGCTGTGACGATTGGGGGGGAAGGGAACGCCACTCCTCTGCAGGGAAGACAGGTGGGAACAGGGAGACGAGGGCAGACAACAAAGGGTACTTTTTTAATACGGGAGAAAGGAAAAAACAACAGAATCACACCTTGAGAGTTGAGAGGTCCTCGAACGTGAGAAAGTACTCCGTGTTGCGGCAGGTAGGGCCAGAGGGGAACACGTCCGCCCACTCCCACTCTCAGAGCAAACTCGGGAAGAGGCAGAGATAGACTGAGCAGATATCCACTCCATGTGTGACGTTTCATACGAAACGGGATCACACCTTGAGCTCATCGAATGTGAGGAAGTACTCGGTGTGCAGGCAGGTGGGGCGGGAACAGGTCCACCCATTCCCACTTTCAGAGAGAATGAACGGCATCACACACACCTTGAGCTCGTCGAATGTGAGGAAGTACTCGGTGTGCAGGCAGGTGGGGCGGGAGCACGTCCACCCATTCCCACTTTCAGAGAGAATGAACGGCATCACACACACCTTGAGCTCGTCGAATGTGAGGAAGTACTCGGTGTGCAGGCAGGTGGGGCGGGAGCACGTCCACCCATTCCCACTTTCAGAGAGAATGAACGGCATCACACACACCTTGAGCTCGTCGAATGTGAGGAAGTACTCGGTGTGCAGGCAGGTGGGGCGGGAGCACGTCCACCCATTCCCACTTTCAGAGAGAATGAACGGCATCACACACACCTTGAGCTCGTCGAATGTGAGGAAGTACTCGGTGTGCAGGCAGGTGGGGCGGGAGCACGTCCACCCATTCCCACTTTCAGAGAGAATGAACGGCATCACACACACCTTGAGCTCGTCGAATGTGAGGAAGTACTCGGTGTGCAGGCAGGTGGGGCGGGAGCACGTCCACCCATTCCCACTTTCAGAGAGAATGAACGGCATCACACACACCTTGAGCTCGTCGAATGTGAGGAAGTACTCGGTGTGCAGGCAGGTGGGGCGGGAGCACGTCCACCCATTCCCACTTTCAGAGAGAATGAACGGCATCACACACACCTTGAGCTCGTCGAATGTGAGGAAGTACTCGGTGTGCAGGCAGGTGGGGCGGGAGCACGTCCACCCACTCCCACTTTCAGAGAGAATGAACGGCATCACACACACCTTGAGCTCGTCGAATGTGAGGAAGTACTCGGTGTGCAGGCAGGTGGGGCGGGAGCACGTCCACCCATTCCCACTTTCAGAGAGAATGAACGGCATCACACACACCTTGAGCTCGTTGAATGTGAGGAAGTACTCGGTGTGCAGGCAGGTGGGGCGGGAGCACGTCCACCCATTCCCACTTTCAGAGAGAATGAACGGCATCACACACACCTTGAGCTCGTCGAATGTGAGGAAGTACTCGGTGTGCAGGCAGGTGGGGCGGGAGCACGTCCACCCATTCCCACTTTCAGAGAGAATGAACGGCATCACACACACCTTGAGCTCGTCGAATGTGAGGAAGTACTCGGTGTGCAGGCAGGTGGGGCGGGAGCACGTCCACCCATTCCCACTTTCAGAGAGAATGAACGGCATCACACACACCTTGAGCTCGTCGAATGTGAGGAAGTACTCGGTGTGCAGGCAGGTGGGGCGGGAACAGGTCCACCCATTCCCACTTTCAGAGAGAATGAACGGCATCACACACACCTTGAGCTCGTCGAATGTGAGGAAGTACTCGGTGTGCAGGCAGGTGGGGCGGGAGCACGTCCACCCATTCCCACTTTCAGAGAGAATGAACAGCATCACACACACCTTGAGCTCGTCGAATGTGAGGAAGTACTCGGTGTGCAGGCAGGTGGGGCGGGAGCACGTCCACCCATTCCCACTTTCAGAGAGAATGAACGGCATCACACACACCTTGAGCTCGTCGAATGTGAGGAAGTACTCGGTGTGCAGGCAGGTGGGGCGGGAGCACGTCCACCCATTCCCACTTTCAGAGAGAATGAACGGCATCACACACACCTTGAGCTCGTCGAATGTGAGGAAGTACTCGGTGTGCAGGCAGGTGGGGCGGGAGCACGTCCACCCATTCCCACTTTCAGAGAGAACGAACGGCATCACACACACCTTGAGCTCGTCGAACGTGAGGAAGTACTCGGTGTGCAGGCAGGTGGGGCCAGGGGGGAACACGTCCGCCCACTCCTGAATAAGCCCTCGCGCTCTTGCTGTTGCTGCTGGGCTCGCCTGTGGAGGATAGTGTTGTACAGGGAGGGAGAATGGTAGGGATCACTGATTGGCACGGTGGCGGTGGGATGTTCAGACAAATGCTAGCGTGCGTGCATGCATGCAGTACAGGATGAGATAGCAGCAAATGAGTAGGAAATTCCCCTCAAAGGACGACAGAAAAAGAAGGAAAGAAAGAAAGAAGGAAAGAAAGAACAAACGCACCCCTCCTTTCCTGGCAATCTTGGCCACGTCAGCAAGCACTCCTCTCGCCACCACCTGAGCGTGCACCGCCCCCCCACAGTTCTTCATTACGGTTTCTAGGAGCTGTGAAGGGGGGAGTGAACAAAAACGGGTTCAGGTGGTTCAGAAAAGGCAGACAAACTCTGCGGTTCTAAACCACAGTGCACAGTGCATTGTGCCACGTGTCATGGTGATGAACGTTGCACACTGTACAGACTGTATTATAACAGAAATATTGTGGTGTAGACATTATATCATAGCGTATGTTTAGAGAAGGGAGCTGGGACTTGTGCTTGGACATCACACAAGTTCCAACGTACAACATTGTGGGTCTAATGCATGAGTTGTAACGTACAGAGGACGGCGTAGGCACAAGTTGTAACGTACAGTGAGAGCAGAGAGCTGCACTTGTGGATGGCGTGACGTGACCTTCTTGTGAACGGCCCGCATGGCATCTCCCACCTTGCTGGAGGGTGAGGGAGGAAAATAAAAAAAGAAATGAATAATTTAATTGCAAGCCAAGAACGAGGCGTGGGCTTCTTGTGCATGGCTCGGGTGGCGTCTGCTGTCTAACTAGGTATTGGAAAGGAAGTTATGACGCTATGATGCTATAATGCTTTGCAATAGTGAGACTTTCAATATATATTGTATAACCAGAGATCAGCATGCAAAAGCAAAGACTGTCCTACAAAAACTAGTCGTTAGCTGTTCGGTACGCAATCTGGCGTGTCGCCGGTACCTGAACTCCCCCCCAGAAGAGCCACTTTATAGCTCGATTCAAACGCTTCACCTGGCTTAGAATTATTGAGTTCTTCTCAAGAAGTGACGCTAAAACGAGAGTCGCTGCGACGATTCACAGGTCAGCTTACCCTGGCGATACATTGAGGAGGTCGCAGAGCTGGAGATTGGTGGTCCAATCAGGTTCCGCCAGGTACTCGCTGCACGCCTTATCCACAAGATGCGATGCGTTGGTGTCAGAATGATGACTCCGACTAGACATGATGAGATGCTGATTTCACAATCACTGAGATGCTGACTTATCCTTTTTTGCTGACTTGCTGATTCAATATTAACGAGGACGCTGATCCAGTGACCCGAAATGATCAATGAGACGCTGTCACGTTTTTAAGGACTTGATATTAGAATCTTCTCAACAACAGCGAAACTTGCAGGGAAGAAGACATTTACTAGATTAGCTCTCGGCTAGATCACCTCTCCCATGAATTAGCTCTAATCCCAACTGAAGAATGCTTAGTGCTTGAGGACAAGTGTTTCGATGCTGGAAGAGGAAGGTCACAACAACAGGTTCAGGCAGGTGAGCAGAGCGGTTCATAGTGGTGAACCAAGATCAATGCAACCGGGTGCCCAACATCGTACTGTACTGTACTCAACCGCTTGCTTATCCCTGGAAGAATATGAAGGGAACGAGGTAGCCTTGATGCTGGTGGTGTAGCTGGGTGCTGCTGCTGCTGTTAGACTCTGGAAGCGTACGGTCCCTGCTCTGGAAAACCGAAACTGAACGCAACTAGCCGTTGAACTGTACGAACGCACCATGCAGCGCTGTGCGGAGACGCAGGGGACGGAGGAGCATCTCCAAGATACAGCAGGGGTGCGTTTCATCTTTCGGCTCTACTGTTCCTGACGAAAAACGGGCATCCACCCCGTTGCAACGTCGACAGCGGAACAATTGAGCCAACACGAAAGCATGGAATGAGATGACAAGAAACGCACGACCGTGGTCACCCGAGCTTCCACTCGTCACGAAACCATGCGCCTTCGCGGAAGCAGAGAGCGGCTGAAACACAACCGCGAGTACTTCACAAGGGCCCTGTTCGACAGGCTAACACTCTGCAAAAGGCGGGTGTTAGGCTAGTGTTAAGAGGAGGGTTCATCGCACCTTCTCAGAGCTGATCGACCGCTGAAGCTTCGGGCCCACAAGGCGAAGCTGCCAGCCCCCTTCAACCTGCCTTTAGGCTGGCACAGTAGAAAAGTTTGGGCCGCTCTCCAAAGGGGTCTGGGTAACAACGCCGGAAAAAAAAGGCATACGTAATTGTGTCTGGGGTTCGGTTGAGAGGGGTAGCGAGACCTGGCCTCGATTAGGAATTTTTCCAACCAAACAGGTTCACAAGGACCTATTTTAGGGTCCACGGAGTGGGTGTTCCTCCCACTCCAAACACTTGGCAAAGAGCGCTGAATTTAGAGAGGCCAATTACTTTCCTCACAGGAAAAAAAGACAAAACCTCCTTAGTATATGAGGTTAACAGCACTAGAAGAGGACAGATAAATAAAACGACAAAAGTTATATATGTACAAGAGGAACAATCAGGAGTACTCAATATGTTAGCGGTGAGGAATTTCGATTAAGAAATTAGTCTTGAAGGTCACTGGCACCATTACCAGAGTGATGTGGAAAACCCTGCATGCGCAATCACATACAAACAAGATCCCCATAAGCACCGGAAAAGAGATTAGAATGAGCGTAGGTAGAACCATATATCCTAAAAAGAGTCTGAAATAAAAACCAGACATACAAAAACTGAAGGAATTCACATAAAAGAACAATAAACACTGACCTTCGAAGCTCTCGGCCATTCGAAGCAGCTCCACCAGCTTCTTCCTCTGCTCCTCTGAAGCCACCAATGACTCACTCAGGTTCCTCACACTCTCCCTCTTAGCCTCCGTCACCCGTTCCAGCTCCCTTCTCACTCTCCCCAACTCCCCTCTCACTCTCTCTAGCTCCTCCTTCAAACCCTCTCCATCCCTTCCCACCTTCTGAAGCTCCTCCCTCACACTCTCCCCATCCCTTCCCACTCTTTCAAGCTCGCTCCTTGAAATCTCCCCCTCCCTCCTAGCCATCTCCAATCCAAGCCTCAGCCGTTCCAATTCCTTCATCCATCCCTCTCCATCCCCATTCTTCCCGGCATCCTCCATTCTTCTCTCAACCATCCTTTTTTCCTCCTCTGCCTCCTCGGCTGCACGCCTCGCCACTTCAGCATCTTGCCTTGCCAAGTCAGCAGCTTGTTTTGCCAGCTCAGCAGCGAGCTTGCATTTGTCAGCAACACGTCTGGCCGCATCAGCCTCTCGTCTTGCAACATCAGCATCACGTCTTGCCACATCAGCATCACGTCTTGCCACATCAGCATCCAGTCTAGCCTCGTCAGCATCCCTCTTAGCTTTGTCAACAGCATCTGAAACATCACTCAACCTCCTCAGTGCATCACTCAAATTTGATTCAGTCTGTATCCTCCTCCTCTCAATCCCTTCCCTCTCATTCTCGGCCTCCAATGCTGCTGCCTCAGCCTCCTCTCTCTTCTGCTCAGCCTCACTCCTTGCCTTCTCCACTTCCTCCCTCTCTTTCTCCGCCTCGCATTTCGCTGCCTCAGCCTCCTCTCTCTTCTGCTCAGCCTCACTCCTTGCATTCTCCGCTTCCTCCCTCTCAATCTCCGCCTTGCATTTCGCTGCCTCAGCCTCATCTCTCTTCTGCTCAGCCTCACTCCTTGCCTTCTCCGCTTCCTCCCTCTCTTTCTCCGCCTCGCATTTCGCTGCCTCAGCCTCATCTCTCTTCTGCTCAGCCTCACTCCTTGCCTTCTCCGCTTCCTCCCTCTCTTTCTCCGCCTCGCATTTCGCTGCCTCAGCCTCCTCTCTCTTCTGCTCAGCCTCTCTCCTTGCCTTCTCCGCTTCCTCCCTCTCTTTCTCCACCTCGCATTTCGCTGCCTCAGCCTCCTCTCTCTTCTGCTCAGCCTCACTCCTTGCCTTCTCCGCTTCCTCCCTCTCTTTCTCCGCCTCGCATTTCGCTGCCTCAGCCTCCTCTCTCTTCTGCTCAGCCTCACTCCTTGCCTTCTCCACTTCCTCCCTCTCTTTCGACGCCTCGCATTTCGCTGCCACAGCCTCCTCTCTCTTCTGCTCAGCCTCACTCCTTGCCTTCTCCGCTTCCTCCCTCTCTTTCTCCGCCTCGCATTTCGCTGCCTCAGCCTCCTCTCTCGTCTGCTCAGCCTCACTACTTGCCTTCTCCGCTTCCTCCCTCTCTTTCTCCGCCTCGCATTTTGCTGCCTCAGCCTCATCTCTCTTCTGCTCAGCCTCACTCCTTGCCTTCTCCGCTTCCTCCCTCTCTTTCTCCGCCTCGCATTTCGCTGCCTCAGCCTCCTCTCTCTTCTGCTCAGCCTCACTCCTTGCCTTCTCCACTTCCTCCCTCTCTTTCGACGCCTCGCATTTCGCTGCCACAGCCTCCTCTCTCTTCTGCTCAGCCTCACTCCTTGCCTTCTCCGCTTCCTCCCTCTCTTTCTCCGCCTCGCATTTCGCTGCCTCAGCCTCCTCTCTCGTCTGCTCAGCCTCACTACTTGCCTTCTCCGCTTCCTCCCTCTCTTTCTCCGCCTCGCATTTCGCTGCCTCAGCCTCATCTCTCTTCTGCTCAGCCTCACTCCTTGCCTTCTCTGCTTCCTCCCCCTCTTTCTCCGCCTTGCATTTCGCTGCCTCAGCCTCCTCTCTCTTCTGCTCAGCCTCACTCCTTGCCTTCTCCGCTTCCTCCCTCTCTTTCTCCGCCTCGCATTTCGCTGCCTCAGCCTCCTCTCTCTTCTGCTCAGCCTCACTCCTTGCCTTCTCCGCTTCCTCCCTCTCTTTCTCCGCCTCGCATTTCGCTGCCTCAGCCTCCTCTCTCTTCTGCTCAGCCTCACTCCTTGCCTTCTCCGCTTCCTCCCTCTCTTTCTCCGCCTCGCATTTCGCTGCCTCAGCCTCCTCTCTCTTCTGCTCAGCCTCACTCCTTGCCTTCTCCGCTTCCTCCCTCTCTTTCTCCGCCTCGCATTTCGCTGCCTCAGCCTCCTCTCTCTTCTGCTCAGCCTCACTCCTTGCCTTCTCCGCTTCCTCCCTCTCTTTCTCCGCCTCGCATTTCGCTGCCTCAGCCTCCTCTCTCTTCTGCTCAGCCTCACTCCTTGCCTTCTCCGCTTCCTCCCTCTCTTTCTCCGCCTCGCATTTCGCTGCCTCAGCCTCCTCTCTCTTCTGCTCAGCCTCACTCCTTGCCTTCTCCGCTTCCTCCCTCTCTTTCTCCGCCTCGCATTTCGCTGCCTCAGCCTCCTCTCTCTTCTGCTCAGCCTCACTCCTTGCCTTCTCCGCTTCCTCCCTCTCTTTATCCGCCTCGCATTTCGCTGCCTCAGCCTCCTCTCTCTTCTGCTCAGCCTCACTCCTTGCCTTCTCCGCTTCCTCCCTCTCTTTCTCCGCCTCGCATTTCGCTGCCTCAGCCTCCTCTCTCTTCTGCTCAGCCTCACTCCTTGCCTTCTCCGCTTCCTCCCTCTCTTTCTCCGCCTCGCATTTCGCTGCCTCAGCCTCCTCTCTCTTCTGCTCAGCCTCACTCCTTGCCTTCTCCGCTTCCTCCCTCTCTTTATCCGCCTCGCATTTCGCTGCCTCAGCCTCCTCTCTCTTCTGCTCAGCCTCACTCCTTGCCTTCTCCGCTTCCTCCCTCTCTTTCTCCGCCTC